TTATAATTTCCTAAGATCCCAAATCCTGTATTTATTTAAAAATCATCAATTACGAATTAGCATCCCTATTAGGAAAAACGAAATTAACATGAAGTCACATTGCAATACCATGAACACTGGCTAAAACCCTTGGTGACCACAAATATTCATATATTTAGTTACATTTGAACACAGCAACATACACACATATCTATGGTCGCATTCGGAAGCAAATTGTCGGAACAGTTTATTAACTACTTTGCCATGTAGATTACATATTCATTATTGTTTATGTCGCATTTGAAATTAATTTATAAGCAATATCCATTAAACAAAATTCAACCAACCATAGACATTATTCATATCAAATTTCTTTCAAATGTCATAATACATAGCACGTCACATATGAGACAGACAGAAAGTCAGACCGATAGACGACCGACCCCTTTGAGTTCTACCACAGACGACAAACTTAAACTTAGCAACATCACAAAATGCTAATCGATATAACGATATAATGTGAGTGAGTAGTAGAATAATAAACAAAATTGTTTGCTGTTAATAATAAAAAGAAAAATATATGAATAATTTCCATACAAACTGACATACTATTTACATTATTATGAAGGCCCATTGGCATATGGACATGTCTGAAGAACATGTTCATATGTAAATATTAAGGAATGGATTGAAGATATTACAAAAAAAAAGTTTGCTTTTCTTACGGAAGTAGGTAAACGGCCGGATGGATAAACAAAGTTTTTTTCCTTATTAAGTGGAAATAACATTTGAACTTCAGCTAAAACCACCTACACATGTACCTGATTACATGCCTACTTGACACGCACGGCCGGAACTTATGTCTTTCTTAACAATGTCTCAAAAAGCAATTTGTATTTAATTAAGTACAGTGGAATAGAGTTATTTCACTTAAAAGTTAATTTAAGGAAAAGTTTAGAAGGATTTTTGTGTGGTTTCTTAAAAATGAAATATTCTCAGGATCCTCCCATATCAATATTAGGTATGTTCGATTACTTTTCCAGTAACATTTACTCTGTAAGATTTTACTGAGAGTAAAAACAAACAAAATTAATATACCCTCCATACAATGGTGAAGGGTAAAGAAAGAGAAAGAATAGAGAATATTGCAAAAGTAAACAAACAACAACGAGTAAAAAAGTTGTGTCGATACAGTTTATTACAACAAAAGGTAATTTTTTATTAGAAATTTGAATATCAAGAGAAAATCGTTTATATAATTTATTTTTATTTGTACTTTCGTTTTCTTTGTCCATTTTATGTTTAATGATATAAAATCAAAATAAACTTTACCAAAATACTAGTTGTACGTAAACAAACCATGATTTATCAATAGGTGTGTCTGGTTACCTTTTCAGTAACATTTACTCAGTTCCAGGGGAAAATTAAATATTATATTAAATGCAATACAAATAATAGGTGTGTCTGGTTACTTTTCCAGTAACATTTATTCAGTAAGTTCTAGTTCAGAGAGTAAGCCGTTTTTACTATCTTTTGCGATAATACTGAGAAAAGTAAACAGACAACATGTAGTAAGATTCAGCACATAAACAGCTGATTCAAGGAAACATTTTTATTTGCGCCAAAATAAAGAAACAAACACAATTATTTGTATTGCATTTATCATTAAAAATAAAATGAACAACAAAAGAAAATTTGATTTGGTATGTTCCCCAGGAACATTTATGCTTCCTGTATCTTGCATTACTTACGAATTGTCTTCCATTTTGCTTGCTCCCTCACTTGACTCTCTTTTACTGGATTTTTGTGTAAACAGACAACATTTAGTAACATTTGGTAAGAATTGTTACCAAATATTGAGTAAACAGACACAACTAATATAAAGAATTAGTTCCTAATTTAATGAAACTTTGCATTTCTTACGAATTTTCTTCCATTTTCTCTAATTTTTATACAATATAATTTCAAATTGAAATTAGCAGATTAAAAAAATGTTTTAAATAATTGTTATGTTTGGGCATAAAACAGCTGATCCAAAAATGGCTGAGTTTGCAAAATCTTAAAACATAAAATTCTTTCAATAAGCTCCAATATTTTTTTTTTTTTTTTTTTTTTTTTTTTTTTTTTTTTTTTTTTGAACGACCAAACTTGCTCTCTCACTTTACTCTCTTTTACTGCATTTTTGGGTAACCAGCAACAATTGTTACCAAATATCCAGTAAACAGAAACAACTATTATTGAGTAGGTATGCATCTATTATATCGACGCCTCCGAACCATAGTATGCTAAGTCGACTTAGCATGTTTTAAAGTTCTTTACGTTTTTAGATACTACGGTCCTTAATTTAAATTCTCTGAAATTTTGGTAATCATCGGCCAATCCAAACCAAAGTTATAAGCAAAAATGTACTTAGCATGGCACGTAAGATTTAAGAAACTTCCATACTTTGAGAGCTTCTGCTGAAAAACTCACTTTTCAGACTTAGCATACTATTCTTCGAAGGCGTCGATATGTCCTGCTTATGATAAAAATTGTTCAAATCTGCAACCAAGTGTTTAATCTCTTAATACGACACAAGTTAACCAATTGGAATTGATAGCCTAAACAAACTCCAATCTATGTACAGGAAATTTCAGTTTACAGGTCTGAACCCTCAATATTATTCGCTGTTTGATTATTCACTCAATTTATACTAGACTGACTACAGATGTGTGTCTGTGAAAATCTTATCCTAATTCGACATGGAAATTTAGAAAAATTGACAAATTCATCGCAATCCATATCAAATGCTATGTTTATGTCGGGGAAATTTATTTTTACCTTGCTCAATTCAAATAGGTTTACTGTCATTTTTATTTATTCCTTGGTAATGACTTCGATGTTGGTACGCTTACACTTACTTACTTGTTTAATTATGTAACCTAGTGTACCTATCCTAATATCAAATGCGGTACTCTCAACAAACACCACACACCTTTATATTTTATATTTATGTGCCACTGTATTTCCCATAACAATAAAACTTTTTAAACAAATAAAAGCAACATACAAACAAAAAAGGGTGTCCACAAATAAGTAAAACGAAAATTCTTCTTTTTAATAACCAAACATACGAATTCATGTCAATATATGAATATATTATATTTATTGTACTATTGTTGTTGTCATTTTTTTAATGTTTGTACATCCAGTTGATTGTTTAGTTCTTCATTCGGTAGCTGCTATAGAGGTATGAGTTTCGGTTTTATTTATATTTTGTGTCTCATACGTGAAAGGTGTTCCAAAAACCACTAGTCAAATTGGCTATTCGACTATACTTTTTTACGAACGCATTCCGGTCTGCGTTATTGCCGTAACAGTCATCGGAACATACGGTACAAGTTCTATTTTATTTTTGAAAAATAATTGTTGTCTTTACGTTCCGTTTTTATTCCTCGGCGAATTGTTTTTGTGTCATTTAATGTAAATAATAGGAAGTGTTACTCATCAGACTATAAACTAAAAGGCAAAGGTTTTTTTTATAATTTCCATTTTGAGCAGAAAATAGTTTCAAAGTTAAAAAACGGTGTCATGTTAGCGGGAATAAGTTATTGCTTCTAAATATAAACATTCGCTTAGAATCGGTTAATATGTTATAGGGTAGATATTAATGTCATCATTATCTAAGATTTCTGCTTATTCGAAACTATAACACATATACTATATTCGTTTCGGAGGATACTAAAATAATTGTATCCACAAAAAACACATATATAATAATTCTGTACCACTGTGCATAGTTCAATATTCAACAAAAATACCTTTGAAAATACAAATCAATTGAAATACTTTCGAATTTGCATATGCGGTTCGCAGATTCTGGTCACTTTTGTTGTGAAGCGCCTAGTCATTGCCATTAGAGAGGTCTGCGTTATTGCCGATAAGCATACAACTATTAACAGCATCTAATAGATTTTCTCCAATTGGACGTGACTAAGAAGCAAAAATCCCAAAAAGCTAAGCACACACGCTCGCATCATCACACACAAATCGACCGAGGGAACGACAGACAGACAAACAGTCACAGCAACCCAACCTTAATCGATTTGTTTACACGTTCACTAAATGCTCTGCTCAAAATGAAACAGAAGAAGAAAAATCATATAGCAGCTACTATTTGTTTGTGTTATTGGAAAATAACATTGACATCTATATCCGCCGCACCACACTCTCTTGTCTGTAGACTCCCCCCATCCCTTAGCCATCATAACCCACCACCATTAGCTAACTATAATGTAAACAATGCAACTGACGACGCATGGTGAACCAACTAACGGACTGAATGATAACAGAATTTCCACTCAAACTTCGGAAGTTGTACTGCACTTGGTTGGTTGGTTCGAGTATAAGAGCTAAACATAGACACACCAAGAGAATGTATGAAGAGTTGTGCGCACGCGAGAAATGTGAACCTGCTATTTTAAGGACATGGATTTCTTCTAGCCATTGTACTCAGGCGACAGGCGGCAGTCAGTAGGAATATTTTATTAGCTTCGGAAACAACACCACAACTGACGACGAGCGAGCAACCCTCAAAATTGTTTGTGATTTTTTTAATTTTTCTGTTTTATATTCCCTTTGAGCTTGCTGTGGTGCGCCGCGTTGTGTTTTGCCACAAGGAAATAAAACGAAAATTTTATGTGATAGTTTTTTTCCTTCGAAAATATTATTAAACCGTTTTGGCCATCACGAATTCGCGTTATTAATTTTTATCAAAAATTATTTTTTTTACTGCGAACTACAATCAAAATTCCATTTCTGTGATCAAATTAATTTCAGAAGTAGAAGAGGCAGCAGCAGCGAACGAACCAGGCGACAAGGGCAATGACGACGATTTCATACCCACACCCCTAAGGCTATTACAGAACATGTCAAGGCGACTAGGCGACAGAGGAAGAATATATGTTGTCATCGACTTGCTGGAATCATTGGATGAATCATTAACTGAAATTATTAAACGGAAGTCAGTTCGGTCAGTAAAGAGTTAACCGAAGTGGTGTAGAAATTACGCAATACGTCCGAAGTTGTTGTTCGTCCGAGCAATGTACCAGTGAGCTGTCAGCCTCAAGAGTGCTGGAAAATTCATTATGCCCACAACTGATGCCCGTCCCAACAACAATGGAACCACTACGGCAGGCAATCGACGTTTCGAAAAGCCAGCCGACGACGAATGGATTACTAGTGGCGGATTGGGTTCGAAAGATGCCGTTCTGGTGTTTCGAACAACGGTTTTAAATTCCCGACCACAGCAACAACATGTAAGTCGTTCTAGTTCGAGCGGAGTATGTGTTAAAGGGGACGAAGAGGAACGGGAAACATCGCCGGAAAAGAATGTAACAACATTGAGGAAAGAAAACGCCAAAAGCAAATCCACATCTAGCCTTAGCTCCAGCAGTGGCAAGGTCGAACGTAACAATTCTAACGAATTACAACAACGAAGAATCGGATCAAGCAATCGTAGCTCCCCAATTAGCAAACAGAAACGATGTGTTGTCTCAATACCAAAGCACTTAGACAAAAAATTATGGGATTCTATGTCATCTAGTGATAATTCCATATCCAGTGATGGCAATGATTCGGAAGACAATGAAAAGGAGGTGTCGGGTAAGAGGTCTTTTGATGACAGACCGCGAAAGAATGTCCCCCAAACGACGGAAACCGAACTTGACAATGATAACGAACAGGAACATGAGCACGATAACGATGGTGAGGTCGATCACACTCCTGCCGCCCTGGATATGCCTGCCACAAACCTCAAGATGACCTATAAATTTCTTCAAACCGAAACAAAGTTACTGCGTAAAATATTCGCTAGACATGGCCTTACCGAAGCTGAGGACGACGATTCATTTAGCATTCTATGGACTGGAATACACATGAAACCTGATATGTTAAGAAATCTATCCCCATATCAAAGGGTCAATCATTTCCCACGTTCGTACGAGCTGACACGCAAAGATCGTCTCTACAAGAACATCGAACGTATGCAACATCTGCGAGGCATGAAACACTTTGATATAGTGCCACAATCATTCTTATTGCCTTTGGAGTATAAGGATCTGGTGACGGCTCACAACAAGTGTCGCGGTCCGTGGATAGTAAAACCGGCCGCGTCCAGCCGTGGTCGTGGCATATTCATTGTCAACTCGCCCGACCAAATACCCCAGGATGAACAGGTTTTAGTATCCAAATATGTAGCTGATCCATTATGTATTGATGGTCATAAATGCGATTTGCGTGTATATGTGTTGGTCACATCCTTTGACCCACTCATAATATATCTATACGAAGAAGGTCTGGTTAGGTTGGCCACTGTCAAGTATGACTTGGACGCTGACAATCTATGGAACCCTTGTATGCATCTGTGCAATTACAGTATTAATAAATACCACACCGACTACATCAAGTCCAGTGATGCCCATGAGGAGGACGTGGGCCACAAATGGACTTTGTCGGCGCTATTGAGGCATTTGAAATCTCAAGGTTGTGATACTCATATGTTAATGGCCAATATAGAAGATTTAATCATCAAATCGATATTCTCATGTGCCCAATCCATTATATCGGCATGTCGCATGTTTGTGCCGAACGGGAACAATTGCTTTGAGCTGTATGGTTTTGATATACTCATCGATGATACGTTGAAACCGTGGCTTTTGGAGGTGAATTTATCACCGTCTATGGGTGTAGATAGTCCGCTGGATGCCAAGGTCAAATCATGTCTCATAACCGATCTCTTAACCTGTGTAGGAATTCCAGCCTACAGTCCGGCAATGCGAGCCCACTATGATAGCCGATGGACACGATTCCGAAGCGTTTCGCACAGCCGACGTACTAATTCAGCTGAACCAACAGGAGCTGGGTCTGGCGTGGGAGGTGCTAAGCGTTCTTCTGTCAGTGCATCGGCTTGTAAAAATTTGACTCTGGAAGAACAGCGTATAATTCGCAATGCTCGTTTCCAGAATGCTCGTCGGGGAGGATTTGTACGCATATTCCCTACGGAAGATAGCATGTCAAGGTATGGTAATTTCCTCGATTCCACAACGGGTATACCAATGTCAACACCCGTATTACAAGGTCAAACCTTTCAATCAACCCTGTCGCAACACAATTACAATCAACTTTTGTATCAGCAATTATACGCTGGAAAGCAGAATGGTGATATTAAGGAGGGCAATTCCTTTGAGGAACGTATGGGTCAATACGAACGTGCTTTGGAAACAGCAACGCCCATATATTTCGATACGAAACGCATTGAACCCAAGTGTGAAGAGGAGGGTAAACGTTTGCGAAAACAAGTGCTGAAATTGATACAGAATGGTTCGGAGCTTACTCAGCTGCAGGCCCGTCAAAGCTTCAGCACTTATTTGGAGGCAATATTACGCCGTCTCGTACTGGAACCCAAAGATAGTCACGAAAAGATCATTTTGAAATTCCTTAATCGCGTGGGAGGTGCAGTCAAAGCACCGGTATATTTTAGAAATCCTCAAAATTTTGGAGCTGTGAGTAAAGCTCGTTCTGCCATGGTGGCCAAATTGCTTGGCGATTTCCTTGAACAATATAATAGGGACACCGAAGCCTATGTGGATTCTTTTGATCACATTGCTATGATTCCAACTAGTCTATTCCTCGAATTCTTATCGCAGGCCCAGGAAGCAGATTTGGAAGCTGTTTTGGGTCTCCACACTAATATTACGGGTACTATGCCATATCTCTACAACAGATGTGGTCTATCTGTTCCAGCTACTCCACCCATACCCTCGGGTCTGCATGGTTTCCTGAAAGCTTTGCCTGCTATGGTTTTGTGTGGTTCGGGAGCACGAGATTTCAACAAGACGGATGCTTATTATCGGCCGTCCGCCACTGGTGAAAAGGAAGTGGCAACAACCACTAATAGCAACAGCAGAAAGGATCAAATTAAGAAGTAATAAGACATCCCTTATCCTAGAACCAAATCCCCAAAACCCAGCTAGTGAGCTATTTCACTTGGCATGATAAAAAAGCTTTACTAAAATTTAAACACAAACACACACACAAAAACCTTCAGGTGTCATGTGATACACGGGAAATCGATTATGCTTGAGGCCGCTCGCTCGTAAGTGATGAATTAAATGCCTACAATGAATCTTATCTTAAATTAAATTAATTAATAATAAAAAAAATAAATAAATTCTAAGTTAAGCACACACATTTTTAGCTATTCCATATATATTTTTTTAAAAAAATAATAAATGTAAGTAAAAGATTTTTAAATGAAATTTCCAAAAAACCTAATATTAATAATAATGACACTAGTCCTTTTTTGAATTCTTAACTAATAAAAAACAAAATATCTTTAGCTAATTGTATTGTAAACACACAAAGATGATGATGATTAAGAAGAAGAAACAAAATATATTTATTTTTTTAAAAATGTCGTAATAAAAGTTCATCTATTTGCGAATATTTTGCTTAAAAGAATACTTCAGTTGTTGTTATTTTGAATTTTATTCCTTGATATCTAATGTGGTAAGTAGAAATAGACTTGAATTTCAATTATCAACTCAATAATCTTACTCAACCATGGACTGCTGAAAAGGTTTGTGCATGCATGCTTCTTAGCTAGTTGATCCCCTCGCACATCTGACAAAAATCCTCGCTCATCTGGCAAATCAAATATTACGACTGCCTTCAACAGACGCTAAATTTCCATTATAACTTTCTTCATAAGAACATTTCGATGTCTTCCTAACCCAATTCTATTTAATTTATTGCATCATTAAAGATCCAATCTTTAAATACTTATTTTTTCAATAATAAGTTAGGTGATCATCTTTAAAAGGGGTAGTATGTTAAATATTGTTATTTAAACCATTCTAGCAAAGCTGCAAATGATTTTGGGGACTAATTTGGGGCAAAAGGTTAGCGTAGTTTTTGCTTTCTCTTCATCTTCACATAGACTGCAATACTTCACCCACCATACGCTTAGAAATTACTGCCCATATAGATTTCGAGGTTCTATACCTAGATTCCCCATTTTCCCAAAGTTTCTAAGTTCAGGTCATCCAGTGTCATCCAATATTTTCCGCTAATCAACACTACATCATCGGCATAAACCACTACTTTTGTTCGGAATTGGTCAAAATTAACAAGAATCTCGTTTATCAATAGAAGCCAAATCATTGACTATCCTGCTTTTCAGCTTAATATCAGTCCAACCCACCAGGATAGAAAATATTCCCGTATTAATGAGAGCAGAGTGCATTGATTCTAACTTTACGTTGTTGAAAGCTCTCTCTATACCGAGAAAAGGCGTCGACGTGAAGTTGGAGTTCTCCAAATTTCTCTCAATATGCCTAACTACTTCATGTGCCTAACTACTTCATGTAAAGAAGTATGTACAGACTTGCCTTGGATGTAGGCGTTCTGAGATTTGCTAATTTTATTTAAGTCCAGTTATATTGCCGGAAAATTGAGGCCAGTTTTCCACGCCTTGAGTATGAAGGTAAATTTTATATTTTTTCCACAGACTTGGTGTGAATGATAAACTTAGAACTGCCCTGCAAATCTTTCTCAGTGTTATTCTACAACCATGCAGTTATTATACCATCTGGTCCAGGAGAATTATATGGTGGAAAAGTGTTAATCGCCCATACCAGTTTTAAATAGCTTGTGTCTCTAAGCCAGAATTAGTCCACGTGCCCTCATTTTTTTATACTACCGATGGATTTTGGTCTCTTTGATATTTTCCGAAATCTTAACGCTTCATTAATTCCATATATCCAAGAAGAATATCCAAGAATCTCGATTTCACTTTTGTACATATTAAAAACTCACTATAAGTATCCCAATCTTTACTAAGTTTAGATTTATTTGCTTTGTTGTATAATTTTCTCGTGTCTCTTCGTAAAGACGAACGATCTTTTGTCCATCAAAAGACCCTAAAGGTTTCTGTGAAAAGTTATCAATAAGTTCATCTTTCGTCTTCCCAATACAACCTCCCCACAATCCTTCCTGACTGCTACTCGAACATCCGAGACCGCAGTCTGAGCTGCATTTATCAACAAAGTCTTCTGGCTGGATTTTCAATGATAGACTATTATTAATTTATTTGTTATTGGCTACCAACAATTTTTAGAATTCCTTAATATCTCAACACCTTTATCGTGTGATTGTCCACCTTCTAAATACATTGGTGTAAATTCTCTATAGGCCAGGCAAACTCTTCTCTCCTGAATGTCTTCGCGCAGAACTGAATGTTCAAATTGGTATCGGGCGGGTCCATATAAAACAATCAAAGACAAACTGAAAATAATACATATTAGAATCGAACAATGATTTCAAACTCCGCACATATATAATCTTACCATGGCATTGGTATTCTTATTATTTTATTTTCAAATATTTTCAATTTCTCTCTATCCATTAGCGGTTCCAAGAGTTGATGTTCATATATTGGCACCAACTCTAAATTGTATTTTGGAATATTTTTTAAAGGTTTGTCCAAACAATCTTTGTACAAATTCAATGTTAGCACAGAATCACCCAGACAATTTACAGTTACCACTCGTTCTCCCCAAATCCAACAATCATCTATATGGGGATCAATTGATGCTCCCTTAGTGGGATCATATTCCAAAGAACATTGTTCTATAGTCTGAAAATCATTAAGCAGCGGTACGGCATTTAATTTTTCCTGGATGTATTTTGTGACCTTTGGAAATCCCTGAAAAGTACCGTTTTGTACTTTTCTCTTTTTAAAATTTGTTTTTGGTCCAAAGTTTTGTTTGCGCCGCCCACTTTGAGATATACACCATGGCAAGGCATCTAAATCGTCCATTGTTTTTTGTCCCTCATCAGGGGAAATAAAATCTGTTTGCACCACAATACCTGGCAAATTTAAACCACTGGACTGCATATGTTCTGGATGTTGTTCTTGTACATCTTTGGTATTCCAGCCGGGATAAAGTTTCTCACATTTAATACACCATGACCATGCATCCAGTTTTTCAAATACATCCTTTAGATTGGGTTTCTCTATGCCGAAATCTTGTTCACATTTTAAACAAGTCCGTACTCCTTTGCAGCCGCAAGGACGAATTGTGTTCATTATGTTTTTTGGTTGTCTGTAAAAGGGAAAAAACAAGTAAATATTTAAGTTTACAATTTCATATTCCGAATCAGTACGTTTTTACGGATTAAAAAATAAAACTATTTATTTGACAAAATTTCGATTTTGGCGTGCTTTCAAAAGAAGAAACTCTTGTATTAAAACGCCGACGAAGCAGGTATTAAAACGTAACTGATAAAGCAGAATCAAAACAAACTTCATTTGACCTTAGGTGCTTAGTCGAAATTTGGACGAATCTGAGAAATCAAAACAAAAATTGAAAACAAACAGCTGTTGCCAACAGAGTTGCCGGTTGAAACAACGATGTCGTAAGAACGAAACAATCCAAATAAAGTGATAGCACGCACAAACTGATTTAACCCTCTTCTAGCGTTTAGAAAATATATTTTTGAATGCAACAGCATATATGCAACCTTTTTAAAAAGTTAACACGAGTGTTGAGATATTCAAAATATTTTAAAAAACATTTCTCTTGAAAACTTTAAAACGTATATTTAAAAAATCGAGGTTGAGACCTTGTAAAAACATTTAAAAAAATCAATACTTTTGTTAAGACCTTGGAAAACCCATTTTTAAAATACACTACTTATACTGTTAATTTTAAGCTTTTGGAGTAGTCCATGTAATGAAGTTTTTGGAATCGCTCTTGGCCCTTTGGGCTAGGTTCTCGTTTATGAAATAAAATTTAATTGAATTGAATTGAAAAAAAAAAATTGTTCTTGATACTTAAAAAAAAACACGCATGACACCTGGAAAATTATTTTTAAAATGTCACCGGTAGACTGAAAAAATACGTGCACGTCTGAGAACCTGATAAAAAAAATATTTTTCAAAAATTCACGCTTGGGTTGGGACCTTGAAAAAATTTACGATAGTGTTGATACATTCAGAAAATATTTTGAGTTCTTGAAAAAATTTACGCTTGAGTTGAGTTCTTGAAAAATATGTTTTTGTAAAAAAATCACGATTGTAGTATTCCAACCTTATTTTTTAGTTAGTATAGTTTAATTTAAAATTGTTTACTTGTTCAAGTTATGAGTTACTATGTATGGAATAAATGAAAACGAAAATCATGGAGACCTAGGACTGCATTAAATCAATAAATAACACAAATAGGAGAGCCCTCAAATATTACCGAATACAAACATGAGTCTAGACTTTTAATTTAATCAGTCCACCAAACTAAGCACTATTTTTTTAAATCATAACCTTTTTCTTTTATGATAACATTTTACGATAATGTCGCATGGCAAAAACAACTCATAGTTTGCCACTATGCTGTGCCAATGCATACATTTTTATATTTCAAAGTCTTCAAGATATTATTTCAATATATGTATATATATTTATTTTTTCAGTAATTTTACATCAATTAATACGTATGATTTCAAGTTTTTTTATTTATTAATTATTTTTTGTTTTGGAATAATCTTCACATTCAATATGATTGGGGGGTTTTTGTTGTTGAACCTTTTAAAGGATTAGTTTGTGATTGGCTTGCACTTCGACGACAAAAAAATGGAACATTTTTGTATAGATATATATATATATATAAAACTTAAGGGCTACAAAGAAATACATGGAAATAGAGAGAGTTTGGTTATTTTAACCTAAATATGTAGTAGCATTTGAGATTAACGGTTAATGAATATAATATATTAAATAATACGCAATATGAAAAAAATACAATATAAATTTTCTATACTATCAGATTTTGTTTTTGGGTTAAACAACTACTGCTCCTGCCTCGGAGCGGCTAAGTGGTAAGTCTGGGCAATTTTTCCAAGTATCCGTCAACGGGTCATAACATTCTACGGCGCTAATTGTGACTTGAGCACGATAGAATGTGGCTTCACAGGGCTAAAAGAAAACAGAGAAGACACGATTATGGTGAAATATTTTAAATATATTTCAGATAGTGATATTTACCTGATCTCCTCCCGCCACATATAATAAACCATCAGCAGCAGCAACTGCTGGTATAGCTCTAGGCACAGACATTGCACAGACGGTAGACCAAGTGTTGTCATCGAAACTGTAACGTTCTACTGAGCTTAAAACTGCCTGTGGGCTGCTGTTACCACCGACAACATATAGATAGCGATCTAATATAGCAACACCCATTTGACAGCGAGCCACTTGCATACGAGCTAAAGGTTGCCACTCTTTGGTAACAGGATTGTAACTAATATTTGTATCAAAAATATAATTACAAATGATTCATGATCATATTTATTAGTTACGTACCTAACTAAATCGTTTAGATGACGTGACGAAATAGTACATCCACCCACAATATAGATAAGACCTTCGAAACTGACAACACCCATGCTAAAGCGTGGTTCTGGTAAATTTCCAATAATTTCCCACACATCCTTATCGGGGTCGTAACGTTCCATTGAGCCACCAATATCATCACCGATCCAACCACCCACAGCCAATAGACTATTGTCCATAGCACACAAACCGAATTCACAACGTGGTACAATCATTGGCGATATGGGCGACCAGCAATCGTTTTGTGGATCGTATACTTCACCGTTAGCTAAAATCTGGGCACCCCTCTCTCCACCAACAACATATATTTTGCCATTTAATGCAGCCACGCCGGGTAGAATACGGCCGATTTCCATGGGTGCTGTTTCCGTCCATTCTCTACGGAAAATATCGAATTTCGCCACCGTATCGAATATATCATCGGCCGGATTCCAGGTGGAAGATGCTTCTCTACGCGAACCACCTAAAATTAAAAAAACAAAATAGTTGTAAATTTGTTACTTGTAATTCTCCAAAATCACTTTACCTATAATGTAAATGTTTTTCTTAGCCAGCTGACGAGGACAAACGCGCAAAGGTACTAGCTGACCGCGCTTGGATGCTATATCTCTGCATATAGAACGTAAAGCAATTTTCACTGACATATCGCGGCAATCTCTTAAGGCTTGGTCTATAACCTTTACCGGTACCAGGGCCAGTCGTACCAATGATAATATATCAAAAACAAAGCAACGCCTTTGAGTGACATCGTGTTTAATCCAACGTAATGCTGCCTGAAATACTTGAGATTCCGAATCTACCCGTAGAAGTTCCGATGACAGCAATTGCGATAAAAGAGCTTGAGGTGTCTCCAAGAATTCATCTTCCTGGGCAATCTAAAATAAAATAATTTTAAACCAATTTTGCAATATGAATAAAAATCTCTGCAATTTTACTTCAACAAAAAATAACTTACCGCTGGAAAATTGCCATGTACATAGTTCAATGCACTCTTAGCCAAGGCTTCACAATTATGAGCCTCGGCAAAACGTAAAATTCCAAGTGCATTGGTGGGATGCAGTTCTCGACATAAATATTCACAACAACCATCAACAATTTCATGTAATTGTAACATATCAGCCGCTGCTAGTAACTCTTGGACATTGGACTGCAATGAAAAGAAAATTACCTATTAATATGTTTCGATTTTAAAAAAATTGCAATTACCTGAGTTATTTCACATCTGCCAGTGTATATGAAATCCAATAGTATACTTAATATATCACCATCAATCGTATGCAATACTACGGTTTTTTGATTCACCTCATTTAAGCCCAACTCCGGCCGGAACATAGCTTCAAAATAACACGAAGCAGCACTTAAGATAACACGGTGGCAATAATAAGTTGCTCCACCTAAAAAGATAAAAATATCATACAAATTGGGAATTTAATTCTCGGTAAATAAGAATTATTATTTTCATCCAACTTACCGGCCACTATATCAACATCACAAAATCGTTTTTGTGAACGTAATTGCTGCAGATTGGACAATACCTTAAACGGATATTGTCCATTACAATATGGTGGTGATTTAGTGTTGGAACGTTGAATATTCAGCGTGGTAACATTTGAAGTTGAAGCTTCTGATGAACCACTTGCTCCTGAGGTGTTTTCGGTAGGTGAGTTATTGTTACCATTACCATTATATTCGTTTTGTGGCGAGTACGATTTCAACGGTGGCATTTCTGTAAGACAAAACAAATGTATAGTAAATTAATTGTGTCCCTGATATTGGAGTTAAAATGAATGTATTAAAACTAAATTTCCAATTGGACCTTCTATTTATAGCTGACATCATAACGAACCTCTGTTAAGGTGCACTACATCATCTCTCGACTTTGTTTTAAATTTTCTAATGTTTCTAAAATTCCATTACCAATTGTACCTCAATTTTTCAAAAATGTATCCGATGTCCTGAATTTCTCTTTTTTGCTTTAATTTCTGTATTTTAAAAGTCCTAGATTTTGCTTCTAGTTATCATCTTGTTATATCGAACTTTGAGTCTGTAGAATATTGCCTCAAAGATATGTTTATATGATATTGTCTTTGTGAAATGCTATCTCCCCAATACCGTTATTTTGAAAATTATTGCTGACCTTCTAAGTGTTTGTTGTTGTTGTAACAGCCCTACAGTTTTTACACAATCGGCTGAGATGACAAACGTTGGCCGATTAAGCGGGGTTTTAGAATGTAAGTGATTGGCATTAGTCATGAGAGTTTTCTCTCTCTCTCTCTCTCTCTCTCTCTCTCTCTCTCTCTCTCTCTCTCTATTGGTAAATTGGGAATAGAGTTGGAAAACATGTACCTAAAATTTTACTTCAAATGATAATAAATCATAATTATCGAGAAATATTGGCCAACATTTATACCAGTTATTTGCATAAATAATATATGTTATAATTTAAGCGTGAATATATTCACGAATAATAAAAAATATACTTTTTGTTTTGGTACTTTTACGTAAATTCGTACCTTTTGTTAAAAATAGTGCAACTTTAATTACTCTCAATTTACCAATGAGAAAAAACTCTCATGACCAATACCAAACAGCAACAGTGTAAAACCCCGACCACTTAAAGTAGAGATTGTCCTGGGGACGAACAAATGAGCTATGCAAAATATCATCGCAGTTGGATAATAATATTGACCTGTACTTTCATTACAAAACGATATGCCATTAAAAATAGACTCGGAAAGTGAGTGTAGTTATATCCTTAAAAATAACTATGAATCTGTCTTACATCCTTTAGAATGTTACAAACAAATGTACAAATAGTAGGAGTAGGGCATTTAAATTTGATCAGTTTTAACAAATAGTTTTCCTCTACCTTCTTGCTTGTAAAATTTACTAATAAATTACCCTGCCAATAGTAATCCACAATGCTAAACTGGGTGGGTTTTCGAAACTGTAACAAAAATAGTCGATAATAGTATTTCAATTCCTTATTATTATTATTATCTTAAAATCATAGTTAAAAAAAATGAAATAAAAGTTTATATTACATTCAAATTTGACCCAGGTCTTGTAAAGTATATTCAATCCAACAAATTTTGAAACCCATTAATCCAATAATAGTATTTGTAACACTTTTCCTCTAGCAAAATATCTATACACCCCAACGAAGCACACAAAAACTCAGTTGCGGTTTACTTACTTGTTACAAAAAAAGTCTTCTATATAATTAGGTTGCAGAGGTTGGTGCTTCTCTGGTTTTGTTGCACTAACTTTTTTAATTAGTTTTAATTAATTTTAATTGGCCAGCAATTTTTTCACTCATCCGTTTCATTTGCTGCTGCTACCCATATAAATTTGCTGAATGTTAATTCATCTGTATCGAAAAAATAGAAACACATAAATCAAATTTTTTATAATTTTATTTTAATGTATTTATTTTTTATTTTATTTATTTCTTATTTTATGTACTTTTATACCAATAATAATCATTTAAATACACAAATTCACGCACTTTTACTTCTTTATAATGTAAATTTTGATAGATTTGTTATTTTCACTAATTTTTTTGCGTTAGGGATCTATAATTCGTTTACTTCACACAAAGTAGTTATCGATTAGTGGGAGAAACCTATCGACCGGAAAATGAAAAAATCGTTACCACTAGACCGTTAACCCTACAAACATCACTTTGGCAGAACACGACACAACATGATATAACAATTTAAGGTAACAGGAAGTGTTGTTGTACAACGAGAGATACAACAACAACAAGAGCAAAAGTTGACGGCTCGATACCTAACACAGTCCGGCATGTGGACTAGGACCACACGACACGTTGCACCTCTTCAATTGCCCAGCGAAGCCTACTCACCTATCGCCGAATTCACTTTGGACGCGGCCCGCTGAAGTTACAGCATTCCTGAATTTGGAAGTAGAAGAAGCAGAACCCGACGATGCATGACAAAACGACATGTTGTTACAACAACAACCTGAAATGTTGTTGTTGTAAGCATGGTATAATTATTACAAAGGTACCAACTGATTACAATTTGTTTCTTGTTCCATCAAATCAAAATACATATTTTGTGTATATGTGTATTGTTTTAAATACCATGTCAAATAAATTCCAAATTAATTGAAATATATTCCAATTTAATAGAAATTAAAATTATGTTTTTAACGCGTCAGTCTGGAAGTAATTACTTTGTTATGGATGAAACAAATATTTCATGGTATTTCCTAGTCGATTTTGGAAAGAAATCATAACATTTCATTAACTACTTGTTGCGTATATTTATTTTATTTTTGTTATTCAACTCAAGCTGTCCTACCTTCTATTATTGTACCATGTTTGTAATAATAATACTAGTGTCAACTTCATTTCACAGAAAAATAAAAGCAAACAAGCAAATTATCAAGAAATTGTTGGTCTGTTCCTGAACCTCCAAGAATGTACAACAATTTACTACGATATCATTTTTTCTTTTATGAAAAAAGAAAAAATGTAGATTCTTTTTGTAGGCGAAAAAAAAAAATTATTTTTTGAAAATTTTAATATTTTCAAAATAAACTTGAAAGACATCAAATTTTAATTTCTATCGCTTCCACATCTTTTCTCTAATTGAGTCATTAGCTGTCATATGTGCAACACATATGGTCTGTTCCCGTACTGCAAGAATCTACTAGATTCTACTATTTTCTTCGATATCATAAAGGAAAATTTGTTATCGTAGTAAAAAATAGTAGATTCTTTCAGTACGGGAACAGGTCAATATTAATGGTCTGTTCCAGAACCTGCAAGAATCTACAATTATTTACTACGATAACAAGTTTCCCTATTTTCCTATGCATGCCCTATTTTCCTGTTGGGTCATTTTTAAAAACATAATTTGTCATATTCATATTGACATTCGTTTGTCCCATGATGAGACAATAAAACTACATTAGAGCTTTATAGCGGGTTAACCTACTCTATGAGGATTTATTTGACATGTATACAATGGATTTGACAATTGAAACCCACTGGAACCCACTGAATTTACCTTCAAATTTTTAATATAAAAGTAAACGAACGCACCTATAGTTTCGAAATAAGGACTTATTAAAGATCTATTAATAAGGTCATCAAGGTAGCAAACGAAATCGGAAAACAGCTGTTTTTTTCTCAAGTCTAATGTCAAAAATTTCGACTTTGTTTACGTTTTCATAATGGAAGGAGTGGCGCAGATATCCAGCTGGTCCCCCTGGGTGACCTTATTTATATATGATATCGAAGAAAATAGTAAAATTGAGTAGATTCTTGCAGTACGGGAACAGACCAAATATGTAAATAAAAATACGATTCTTAATAAATACAAAAATGAGCGTGGTTTTACACTGTTGGTGATTGGTATGGGTGTGGAGAGTTTTTCTCTCTTGAGAGAGTAATTAGCGCTGTTTTTAATTTTGTAATAAGCGTACCTTTTGTTCACAAAAGGTACGAAATGATATAAACGTACCAAAACAAAAAGTAGAGTTTTTATTATTCGTGAATGTATTTACGCTTAAATTATAACATATATTATCTATGCAAATAACTGGTATAAATATAAGTCAATATTTCTCGATAATTATGATTTATTATCATTTGAAGTAGAATTTTAGGTATCTTTTCGTGCTTTTTTGTTCCTACCTGTGGCAATGTTTTCCAACTCCACCAATGAGGGAGAGAAAAAACTCTCAACACCAATCCCAATCACCAACAGTGTAAAACCACGCTAACTAATTAAAAATAATAAATATTCTATTCTTTTTAACAAACTAAACCAACTAGAGGTTATTACAGTACGTTTACATTTAACCGGATTTCGTTAACCCAGTGGGTTTCAATTGTCAATTCCTTTGCATATATGTCAAATAAATCCTCACAAAGTAGGTTAACCCGGTAAAAAGTTCTAATGTAAATGCCGTTTTATTTTGGACATTTTGTTTTGAATATGAATACTATTGGTTCCCTACTGCAAGAATCTACTAATTTTTACTATTTTTTCCGATATTATTGGTCTGTTCCCGTACTGCAAGAATCTACTATTTTTTACTCCGATAACACTTTTTCCTTTATGATATCGAAGAAAATAGTAAAATCGAGTAGATTATTGAAGTACGGGAACAGACCATATGTATACTTATTCGAAAATATTGACATTGACATATTTTTTGTCTACCTATTATATATGCGTACCAGGTTTTGTTTACAAATATCAATTGTTTTGTTTTTATCAAAAGTAGAGTTTGTTTGATTTTTTAATAATTTATACAATAATGGAAGAATTTACAGACATGCAACAATCCTGTCGTGTGTGCTTGCAGAAAGGTGATGTAAACATATGGAATCACAAGGTGAAAATATGTGAGGATGACACGTTCATAGATGCTATAGAACTAATCAATATTTTCAGTGATACGGTATGTAAATGATGCACAAATATAATATTTGCAGTTGTAATGAAAATGCGTTTGTTTTTTTTACAGCTTGCCCTACTGGAACTCTCAGATGTTATGCCCCTCCTTTGCATGCAGTGCCTGGAGGAATTTAAAATATGTTACAAATTCTATGAGAAATTAAAAACAGCTAGTTCACAGCTTGGTGCTTACTATCAAGAATACCATGACCATTGTAAGAAAACCGAAAATGTGTTAGATGTTGATCCACCCGAAGAAATAAATGAAGAATCGAATTTTATTTTGGAGTGCACAAATGAAAATCCCGAAACAGAAATTCAGAAAGACGAATCTGACACGCCAGACACCGAAGACTTACTTCTGCACATACCCCCCAAAAATGTTTCCCCCAATTATCAAATAAGCACTAATTCGTCTTATGTGGTAACACAATATTTCCCCACTCTATTGCAAACAGTCGACTCATCATCATATACAAATCCCGGAGAAGTCAATGAGAAACGAAATCTACTAACAATAGACTGTAAAGCAGTCGAAGTGAAGGACGTAAATGAACTTCCAAATTTGGAATCTACATCTTTTTTAGATAATAAAGCAACGGAAAACCCCACCTCACGGGCTATATACATGTGTCAGTATTGTCCACAAGCATTTGCTAAATTAGAATTTTTAAAAACTCACACACAAAAATCTCATGTATGCAAATTTTGTACGCAACCCTTTAATATGGCAGCGGAACTTTATCGTCATATTAGAGAAGTCCATACGGAACATCGATGTGTTATATGTCAAAAAACCTTAAGCTCCAATACAAATCTAAGGCATCACATACGGCGTGTACATCATATTCAATTGCCACCTAAAATGACAATATTGGATGTTATACCAAAAAATGAAGTGGAAGACGAAATAGATGAGTTAAATAATTTAGTGAGTATAGGACAAGAAGATATTACGGAAAATGTATTAGATGCAAGTGTGTATATTTCATCAGATTATATTGTCGAACAAGTGATATAAATTGATTCATTTATTTAACATGTAAAACTTATAAACAAATATATTGAAATTATTTTTTTAATAATAAATCCTTATGTTTGATAAAGATTCACATCGAAAACATATTTTAAATTGTGAACATTTGTGGAGATGGTACCAATCATGGTACAATTATTTTAGGTAGGTCATAGCTATTTATAAATTAAAATTTTTTCATATTGTAGCTTCCGAATTCTCTAACGATTTTTAGTGATTATTTTCCGAGTTATATGGAATTCCGAATTCTTGAGCAACTTCACACAATTTCCGGTTTCGGTACGAATTCGACATCAGAATCGGAAATTTGTGCAGAGTTTCGTTCCGTATTCGGAACAAATAGTTAAATGGGTTGTAATGCCAAAGTCGTATGGAAAATGTGTGACTGTGTATGTGACGTTTTGAAAAATATAAAAAATATATTCTGAAATCCATTTGTTTAAAGATGAATTTTACAAGATTGATGAATGAATTTTGTGATTTGTAGATGAACCATTCATTTTTCACGTTTTTACTAACATTTTAAAAATATGTCAAATGAACAGAACGAATTGTTGCATATGTTTTTATTTATTCTGACATTATAGCCCACAACGTAGTGGAGTATTTTTTCACTGTTAGCAAAGTTCGCACCCAAATCGTATACTCGATCAGATAATTTTAAAACTTGATCTTGAAATCAGATACACCATAAATAAAATATTTGATTTACAGTTTTTCGATTTTGCCCATTTGTGTGAAAGTGTATATTAGTGTATTGTATCATACATACCCAAAACGTTTTTCTTTACTATTCAGTGAAGTTATTTTGTTTGAATCAGATATATTTCTTTGTATGGGAAGCTGAAATCTTTTAAGATTTTCACAATTAAAGATATTTCGTGGGATACAAAACGTTATGCCATTTTGTGTCACAACGCCTAATGTATAAGACTGGACAAGAAAATGCAAGTGTAATAAAATTTTTATTCTGGCACTTTTTAATTAATAAGCGAAAGTAGTACGCAACTAACCTAATATTTTTACAGATAGCAAATCTTTTTTTCTTGACAAAACCTCTTTATTATTCTAAGCGTATAGAGAAGCTTTGAAGCCGCGGCGACTATATTTATTTTGAAATTTGGACCAGAGAAAATACTCCCTACTTCGCGTTTTTAGTTTTGTGTTGAAAAAATGTCAAATAAACACAAACACTTGTTGCAAATATTTATTTTATTTTTGGCAGACCTCAAGCTGCCATACCTTGTATTATTGTACCATGGGTCGTACCATGGCACAATGAATAAATAGGTAGTCCATTTAGCGCAGCTGATGTCTTGATTAACTGTCAAAGTGGGTAGTTTCTACTTGAATTCGATGTGCAGTGTTGCCAACCATTTGAAATATTATATGGAAAAAATTCACACATAATCGAGACAAAAACAAAGGTTGTTGTTGTGATACATCATTATGTAGGTACGACCCATTATTGCATCATGGGTCATACCTACATATACGCCCATGTGACATGTTCCGAGAGTTTTTGAATTCCCATACTTTTTAAATTCCCATGTTGTGCAAAATGGTGTGCTCAATTTCGAGCGAAAGTGCGGCTCGAAAGCATAGCTGTGCTCAATATGTGTGTCAATAAAAAACATATGTTTCATTGGAATTTGCAATTTGTTTAACAACAAAATTAAGCAAAAATATGCCTGCTGGCTTATTAATTGCCCTGGTTTCTACCAGAAAAAGTCTAATGATACTGGAACGTGTTAATGTAAGCATTTATGTATATTTTGAGAGAAGTTGGTCCTTTCATACACAAGGGTACCATTCCCGAAAGCCTGCAGTTAGCAGCAAAGATTTCTGGCTGTTGATGGGTTTCAGAGGGTGGAGCATGGATCTTGTCAACATCGCTATAATAAAGGGCACACATCTGCAAGAAACTTTATTAAAAGTATTATTGGAAATCTTAAAAGTAGATTTTTTATAGATTTTTTTTTTATTTTGATCATATGGTGGTTGAGTTTCCAGATTGATCTCAAAAATGTTACGCGCTGTTTTTGATAAAATGAGCCCTTTTTTATTTTCTTTAATTTTACTATAAAAACTAATGTAAATACTTTATTTTTTAAATAAATATTGTAAAAACACGCTAAATATTACTTCAGCGTTCTTTTTTAACTTGTACGTGCTCAGATAAACACGTACGATCTCATTTCGTTTTCAATCCACAAGGCTATATGTGCTCGAATTATATTCCCAATATTTTTTTGGGAATTCGGAATGAAGCACGCCAAATTTGGGAAAATGTTTCACATTCGAGCAAACTCGAAATGCAGCACATGGGCGATAATACATGTATTTAACTTTTGAGGTGAATAAATTCCTACGCATACGCATAAATTTAGGTACGACCCTAAGAGTTAAATATTTAATAGACTTGTCATTATCAATTTCTTAAATGAGACTACCTTCCATAATTATGCAATGCAACTCCTGAAACAGGCATAAATCATGACCCAATTTGGAAACATGAACTGAAATTTTAGTTAAAAAAACACACCTATTATTCCGTATTATTGAGATATCGATAACCTCAAATTACTTGTCACAATAATCGTTCACCGGCAGCGGTTAACATATGATTCTGTGTGACCCATGGTACGACCATATGAGTTTTTGAGTTGTTTATATTTTCCCACCTTTCCTCTGTTCTGTCTGTTATAAAACCAACCAAAAATAGAAAATGATATTAAATATTTTATCCAAGTTCCGACAGCCACGGGCACTAGTGTCATCATTAAATAAATTCACACCAGCATCAGGTGTTACAGTCAATGGCCGAAATCGTCAATTCTCTGCTGTCAGTTCGCCTAACACATTGGATTTTCAAAATGAAAAGTTACAACAGCTTTTGGAATCACTACGTATCGAGTTTTATGATTTGCGAGTTAATTCATCCGGAGGACAAAAGGAATATCAGAGAATGAATCAATTGTCGGATATCGTAAAGATGCTGGAACAACATAGAGCACTACAAGGCAACATGACTTCAAAGGAGGAAATCGAAGCAGAAAAGGATAGTGATATGCGTCAATTGATCGAAGAAGAGAATCAAGTGTACGCCGACCTAATGAAGAAAACTGAAGAGAACCTTTTGAGTAAAATGTTATTATTAGCTGACAGTGAGTATTACCCGTCATTGATTTTTGAAGTCAACGCTGGAGCCGGCGGTCAGGAAGCAATGCTTTTCGCCAGAGAATTATACGACATGTACATTAATTACTTCGATAATAATGGTTGGGACTATGATGTATTGGCGGAGGATATTACAGATATTGGCGGTTTGCGACATGCCAATGTCATAGTCAACGACGATCAAGCTTACCAGACAATTTGTTATGAAGCTGGAGTACATCGCGTTCAACGGGTACCAGCTACTGAAAAATCGGGACGCATCCATACAAGTACGGCATCAATAGCCGTCATTCCAAGGCCAGCTGACATCAATGTAGTTATTGCAGAAAAAGACTTAAAAATTGAAACGAAAAGAGCAAGCGGTGCTGGTGGTCAACACGTAAATACCACGGATTCAGCAGTTCGAATTGTACACTTGCCTTCAGGAATTGCCGTTGAAAGCCAGTCGGAACGATCACAAATAAAAAATAAAGAAATTGCTCTGAAACGACTTAAAGCCAAATTGGAACAAATACAATTGGAATCTGCCTTGGCTTCCACGAGAGCAACACGGAGAGCACAACAAGGCAATTTGGATAGGAATGAAAAAATTCGTACATATAATTTTGTGCAAGATCGTATCACCGATCATCGTATACAAGGTGGAACTGTACACAATCTGAAGGAGTATCTTCAAGGCGGGGAACATTTGAATAATCTAATGCAAAGAGTGGCTATGGAATGTCGCAAGAAAAAACTAGCAGAAATGGTTGAAAATTGGAAAATGCCTGAAACAAAATAAAATAGAAAATAAAAAAAAAATCAAAAGTATTTAGGAAATGTTTTACTGAATTTTTATTTAGCTATATTACTCCAATCACCAGCAGATCCCATCTGCATTAAATGCTTGCGTACAGCTGTTTCCATTATTGCCTGTATTTCACGGCAACCTGCCAATGCTTGTTCAATCACCTTGGGCAAATTATCCAAATGAAAACGTTGGGTCATCTCCATGAAGGCTATTTTGTTAGATGTTGGCAGTGAGGCAACAGTTAGTGTTGGTCCTCCGGAAATTTCCTCGTGATTGGACACATCAGTCAGTGGAATGTTGTTCTTACTCAACGATGCGGTACACGCAACCACATATTCCTTAAGGCATATACCCGCATCCACCAAGGCCAAGGTTGCCGCATTCAAAGCAACAGCATAGTTGGCACCATCAGCTTGCATTACCTCAACATAAACATCAATTTGAGATCTTGGATATAGTTCGGTTTTTATAGCAGCCCGTAAGGCCTGTCGCAAGTACAGTGTAATTTCTTGAGATTTTCTATCTCCTCGAGGTCTCTTTTTTCTTTCGGCTGTTGAAAATGTGGCCATGCTGTATTGACAATTAATGACCACTTCATTTATGTCCATCTTCTTGTTTTGAGCCTGGTGGGGGCCATAGACGGCCGCCAAAACCTTTGTATTACCTTGTTCCAAATAGGCGCTTCCATCAGGTTGCTCAAAAACTCCCAATTTACATTTTATTCTACGCAATTCGTGTGGACGACGACCATCCAAACGAAGTCCTTGTTCACTCAACAAATCAAAATTGGACATACTCTTGGTTACTTGGAAGGAAGAAGTACCGCGTGTTCCCCTTTACCGATATAAATATTATTGTTTACATTTTTTGGTGTGAAATTAGTCAAAACGTCGTGCAACGGATACATCAACAGTTGTTTTTAATCGAATTACAATAATCGATTAATCGATGTAGGATACTTTAAAATGAATAGGAAAAATACAACCATAAAAGATTGAACAATTGCTATAGTTTTTTTTTAGAGTTATGTCTGTCGTTATTTGGTCTGTTCCCGTACTGCAAGAATCTACTAGATTTTACTATTTTCTTCGATATCATAAAGGAAAAAAGTTTTATCGTAGTAAGAAATATTAGATTCTTGTAGTACGGGAACAGATCAATTATTTATTGGTCCGTTCCGCAAGAATATGTTAATCGAAATTATATTCGATTTTCCATTTATACATTTTAAAATGTTTGTGTACGGGAACACATCATATATCATACAATCGATATATCTCAATTCGATCTGAAGATCCCTAATGTAAAGTGAACAATATTATATTTTTTGTATTGTTTTAAATATTATAAATTATTCTTTTAATATGGAATATCAACTAATTGACTTAGTTAAACAGAACCCCATTCTATATGATAAAAAATATCGCAGCTTTCAATACCGAGAAGAAAAAATACGAAAATGGAATGAAATTGCGAAAGCATTACGCCGAGATGGTAAATATTGAAATGAATTTTGGGATTAAACAATAATAATACCTGTAAACAATTACAATTTTCAGCCAATTTTGTGAGATTGAAATGGAAAAGCTTGCGTGACACCTATAGACGTAGATTGTTGCGCAAAGATGGAGAAGATGATGATGGACCAACAAAAAATTGGAAATATAATGAACAGTTATCATTTTTGAAAGACCAATATCCGGAGTGAGTATGAAATTCTTAATCCCTAAATCAGTATCATTAATACGATAATATGCAATTACAGCACCGCAGAAATCACAGAAATTAAACTAGAGGATGACGAAGAGTTACAACTAGAATTAGAAGAACAATTACAAGAAGAATTTTTACATGATGAAGCAGAGATAGTAGAGGAAGATGTCACTATTCCACATGAACCTGACTTTGAGGTGGAAAATTTTAACTTGAATGAATATCTTAAGAAATTCGATGTTTCCAATAATAATGCAAATACGACACAAGCGGAAGAACAGTCGAAGAAGAAGAGGCTTGATAAAGATACAATTATTAGCGAAGCAGCCCAGGAAATGGCTTCGCTACTACAGTGTGCTAAACAACACTTTACCCCGCCATCGGCCACACAAATCTTTTTCAACTCCATTGCTTTGCAAGTGGAAGAGGCCAACTTGCCGCCAATAGATTTAATGCGTTTACAGCAAAGAGTTTTGGAAGCCGTAACACAGGAAATTGTTATGTCACAGGATGGCGCTACATATATTATTCAAACATAAAATACTTTAAGTAATCTTGTTTAGTTACCATATGTTAATATAATAACTTTTCTTATAGCAAAATACATATATTTTTAATCATACAAAAAATGTCTTAATTCTTTTTCGATATTCACACTATAGTCCGGCATAAATCAAAAAAGTGATTTTTATTTTTGATGGTGGGCATGATAACTTCTCACTGGAGCATTGGAATCCGAAAATTCCAACGGTGTTAGAAAGAGTTTGAGAATCACTCTTGCCGTCACTTGATACTGACACAATAAATCGGCTATATTTTCAAGAGTTCTTGAGATTTTCACTTGTAATTTTGTATGTAAAAAAAATGTTGACACGGAGAATGGGGGGTCCCCTTAAGTTGAAATTGCATTTTTTGAAATAAATAAAATATTTCTTACACAATCTGATTGAGAAGAAGATCTTCCTCTATTCCTTGTAAGATGTGAGTCAATCTAAAACTTAAAACACATTTTCTGCGAAATCGATTTTTTTATTTATACCGGTCGTTTAGCAAATGAACGATTTAGGTACACAACATGTTCACTTCTATGTTCCATTCTCTGAAGAATGTGATTTAACTCAGCATCAAGTGACAGCTAAAGGGCTTCTCAAACTTTAAACGCGTTTTTCTCTTTTGCGAATGGCGGGCACGATAACTCAAAAACTAATAACCCAATCGATTCCAAATTTTTAAGCGTTTCTCTGTGAGTGTATAGCTATCATATGAACTAGGATAAAGCCAATCGGTGAAGATCTTCCTTATTTTTTAACTTGGTTTTTGGTCAAAAATCGGCGATTTTCCAAAAATATTTCTTCAAAGATCCGCCATTTTGTTAATTTTAGAGCGAAGTCAATAATCCTAGTTCATACGAGAGCCATACATGTACTCTTTCTAACACCGTTGGAATTTTCGGATTCCGATGTTCCAGTGGGGAGTTATCATGCCCGCCATCAAAAGTAAGGACTTTTCTTTAATTACAAAAAACAGCAACAAAGCAACAACAAAAATTTTTTGTAAATTATTTTTCTTCTCTTTTAAATCTTCAATTATATATGTGCAAAGTTACAAACCTTAACAAGCATTGGTATTGATTTACCAGCCCATTGAAAATCTTGAAAAATTAAAATCCAGAATGGTTGGGGTTCCCTTAAACTATATTTTTAATTATTATTAAGTGATTATTGTTGGGCATAGTTGACGGAAATGAATATAGTGTTCTGGACGATCATTTTCATCAATCCGAACCCAATCCAACTTGGCTAAATTATACAAGGAATGTAATAACACCGCATTTCCAATATTTTATTCAATAAATGTTTTCAAATTTTAATTTGAATAACAGAAACAAGTATACAAAATTTATTTATATTATATTTTATTCTTTAAAAAGCTTCAATAAATATGGTTTCAAATCACTTATATGTATGGTTTCTGATAGTGTAGTGTCACGATTTCGCAAACGTAACAGACCTGTTTTCAAAGCATTTTTCTCAACGATAACTGCATAAGGAATTCCAAGTACATCAGCCTTACTCCAAATGCTACCAACATCTTCTGCATCACTTATGTGATTGTCATACAATCTGAGTCCAGCACGATTTAAAACATATTTTAAATGAACGCATAATTCATTCAAAATTTCATTACTAATTTCTCCGGACACCAATAAACACTGGTATGGTGCCAATTTTCGGTTTAGCTTTAGTACATCTCTCCCATGTTCGTCAGTTACACCATCTAAAAGTAAGCCGGCGGTGGCCAAATTTAAATCAACCACGGATCTAACTACTGAAACATCATTATTTAAAATTGTATTCAATTGACCGAATTCATTTAGATGTGCTAATACTATTGTCTCCATTTCAATTGTGTTGCCGAAAGTTTTTGATTTTATAGTTATTGATTGGCATTTCTTTGTAAATTCGTCCCTGCTCTCTTCTGATACATCAAATGACTCAACAACATACCGGCTAGGATCAGCAGAATAGCGCATCCACCATATTTTACGTTCCCGTTGTATATTATAAAACATATCTCGTCCACGGGATGCATGTGTAAAGTAGTCAGTCACTAATTTAATATCTTTGGAAGATTTTATGAAAAAACACGAATTTTGCACTGACTCAGTTCCATAACAGACAGTTTTAGCCATGTCTGGCAGGCATATACTTTGCTTGCTGTATTTTTCCAATCTCTTTGTAAAATGTTCGTCTTTTAAAAATGAAAGACGGTCATTATTCACTTCAACGTTAGATGTAATTTCATTATAGTGTGAAATAGAATCTGATCCGAACAATTTCCAATGATTCAACAGTTGATCCTGATAAACTTTAGCATTTTTAAGGAACTCTATGCATGTGGGATTTTTCTCAGTTAACGAATGAGTTCTCAGATATTCAGATTCGCTCAATAATTTCAAAGCTCGCCTCATCATAGAGTCCTGGAAAAGAATTGAAACCTATTCATTTAATATAATGTTAACAAATTAATTTAATATAAGGATAATCCAGAAGCAAACCTTACTATTTTCATAAACTATTGGTAGATATAAACAAATATCAGCTGACGCATGTTTACAAAAATGTACAAGAACAAATGATATTTCCAAACAATTAAACAGATTGAATTTTCTTTCATAAAATTATGATTTATCTCAGCAACATTGTAGTTAGATATTAAATGTTTTAAATGCTGTGGTAAATAATTTTTAATGGATTCAATTTTAAATTTTTGTAACTACAAGAATATACCTTTTGAATTCTTAACTGTTATTAACCGTACTGCAAAAATCCTCTAATTCTTCTATATCATAAAGGACAAAACTTGAGTTAAAATAGATGATTGTCCCAAAAAAAAAAAAAAAATAGTACATATGGGGGGAGGGGATACTTGACGAACTCTCTTTTAAGGGCTAAGCAGAATGCTCGCGTTGAGCTATCCGTCGCGTTATATGTTATCGAAAATACAACAACCACAAGGGAACGATAACACAAACGCATATCGTTTCCATGTGGTTGTTGTATTTTCAATGACAAATAACGCGACGGACGGCTCAACGCGAGCATTCTGCTTAGCCCTTTAGAGAGGTAGGGGGTATATTGCCACACGAAAAATTACGCACTTTGAAAGTTAATCAAGTCAACAGCTGTGCTAAATGGACTACCTATTTATTGTGCCATGATTATGGTTTTGTTCCAATTGTTGGTATTTTCGAAAATTTCGAATCTGGCAACTATAACTGGTAACATTTTAAAAACATATGATTTCTTCAACACAAAACATTGTTGATGCTCGCTTGATTTGTTTCATTAAATAATTTGTAATTCACTTGGGTACAAAAATAATTATGGAATTCGAATTGATTGATTTTGTTAAAGCCAATCCTATAATGTATGATAAAAAGTATCGGAGCCTAAATTATCGTGAACGGAAAGATGCCAAATGGAATGAAATCGCTAGGAAGTTGCGTAGAGATCGTAAGTGACAATGGACACAATAGAATAGACGCACGCTATGGCGAGCGACGATTTCTTCTGAGGAACACAATAACAGTGTTTTGTATTTATATTTTGTTGATATTATAGCCAATACGCTTAGACTCAAATGGAAAAGTCTGCGTGATACATTTAGAAAGAGATTACATCGTAAGAAAGTGGATGAGGAGGATGCTCTTACATCTAGAAATTGGAAATATCACAACGCACTCATGTTTTTAAAAGATCAATATACGGAGTAAGTTACTTTTATTTTTCTCATTGCAAACTAAAATATTAATCCTTATATTGCATATAGAATTATCGTTGATTACAAATCGGATAAGGAGAGCGAATCAGATCAGGAATCACAGATTGAAGATGCTGAACAAACTTTCGCAAATGCCGAAGAAGAATTTGAAGTTGAAAATTTTGATTTAAATGATTATCTTAAGAAATTCGATTCCAGTACACAGCATAACACGACCACACACAGCACTACCGTTCCAGTTACGAGCGATGAACCTCCCAACAAGAAGAAGAAATTCGACAAAGAAACAATGATAAATGAAGCATGTCAGGAAATGACAGTTTTGTTACAAAATGCCAAACATCATTTTACACCTCCCAGCGCTACGCAGACATTTTTCAATTCTGTGGCAATACAAGTGATCGAAGCCAAATTAAATCCAGTCGAGTTGATGCGCCTCCAACAGAGAATACTAGAAGTAGTAACACAAGAAATTCTAACTTATCAACAAAATAGAACGTATGAAACATGAATTTATTTATAAACTTAGTTGTTACATATTCTCTTTATACAAATAGTCTTTTAATAAATCTCGATTTAAAAAACCTTCGTTTCCAGAACTACATTGAAAGTTTTCGTATACTTTTGATTTGGGCAAAGTAATAGTTTCTCGCCATACTCCTTTTTTAAATTCCTGTGTATTTTCATCATAGTGATCGACTAGTTCTTTGAAGAAATATGATTTGTCATGATCGATTGCAAAGTTGTGCAGGATAACACAAGCCTTTACAATATGACAAGCCGTTTCTGGAAGACAAGTGAATTTGTTTTGCAATACTCGCCATTTGTGTAGCAAAACTCCATAGGAATTGTCAAGGTAATTGGAACACTTCTTAAGACGTTCGTTGAAATTAAGTTTATCCTCGGATATCGCTTTGCCGGGATACGGTCTCATTGTATGTTTTAACAAAGGAAACGAGGATGGTGTAACCATATAAGCAGTCAACATCATACCCGTTGATGCATCAAGTATCTGCATATCCTCGGGTAAAGATGTTAGATTGTCTTCCAACAACTTTTTCAAAACGTTTTCCTTTTCCACAATTTCATGTATCAATCCAACGTCAACATTGACCAACTGATACCGTGTGTTGCAAGATCCCATTAACACTATGGGATCTCTGGTTTTACGTTCCGTTACAAATTGAATGGCATCAAAACTACCCACACAGTTTGGCAGGCCAGTTGCTTCCATATAGGCATCGCTTTGATCATAGTATTCTTCATTGTCCAAATTTGTTGTAAAATAGCCGGATAATTCTTTAGCTATGCATTCACAGGTCTCGCTGATTATTTTACGCAAAGTGGACATGCCCAAACGAAATGCGATCGACAACAAAGGTTTAGGAGTATCAAAGGCCAAATATCTGAAATGGAATCAAAAAAGTAAGCATTCATCCTTTTTCTTTTGTATATTAACAAATATCTTACATGATCGTAATAAGTAATCTACATTGTGGCGGTATTGGCTTTCTCTGGGAATACTTGAGTAACTTCTTTCTCAGTAACCGCAGCAGATGTTCAAACGTTGTTATGTTCAAACGTGTAAACTTACGAAATTCCCTATTGTTCCTCTGTTTAATTAATTCGAAAATTTGATTGAACAGACTATGCATGTCCCTCTCGCTTTGTGAGAATTCCTCACGAGTCCAAACCTGGCGTGAAGTATTGGGACAGACTATATCGATGAAATTTACAAATGCAAGATATATCTTAAATAATTCCATAAATTTCTCCATATAGTCATAACGAACCAATATATTGGAGTTTTTAACTTTATTGTAATATTGCATTTTCAAAAATTAGATACTGGTTTAAGAAATTCTCTTGTCGAACGCTATCAATGTGTTTTGTTGGAATGTCAGATGTTTAACGCTGTTCAATGTGTTTCAAAAGTGTTGCCATATGTTGAAAATTGTCAGAGCTACAGGAATCTCGTCGCTGAATAATATAAGCTATGTCTGTTTACTCGATATTTGGTAACAATTGTTACCATATATTGTCTGTTTACCCAAAAATCCAGTAAACGAGAGTCAAGTGAGAGAGCAAGTTTGACAGTTGAACAGCAACAAACTTACTGGAGTTTACTGAAAGAATTTTATGCAGTAAGATTTTGCAAACTCAGTCATTTTTGGATCAGCTGTTTTATGACCAAACACAAAAATTATTCAAAATGTTTTTTTTAATTTGCAAAGTTCGATTTGAAGTTAAGTTGTATAAAAATGACAGAAAATGGAAGACATTTCGTAAGTAATGCAAAGTTTCATTAAATTAGAAACTAATTCCTTATATATTTTTAGGCAAGTTCCAGATAGAGGGCAATATTGATGCAGGAAGCTTAAATGTTCCCGGGGAACATACCAAATCAATTTTTCTTTTATTATTCATTTTTTTTAATATTAAATGCAATACAAATAATTGTGTTCGTCCTTTGTTTGTTGTTTATTTTGGCGCAAATCAAATGTTTTCTTGAATCAGCTGTTTATTTGCTAAATCTTACTAAATGTTGTCTGTTTACTTTTCTCAGTAAAAGAGCAAAAGAGACTAAAAACGACTTACTCTCTGAACTAGAACTTACTGAATAAATGTTACTGGAAAAGTAACCAGACACACTTATTGTCAGAAAGGAGAAAATACACCTCTACCTTATGGGCAATAATGTCAGAATAAATGAATGCAACAAGTCGTTCTGTTCATTTCACATATTTTTAAAATTTTACCAAAGACGCGAAAAAATTGATGGAATGTCAGGGTTTCTTTTCAAAAACAAGTTGGGAATATGATTTACATGTTGTTGCATTCACAAATCATACATCTTATACATCAGCTGCGCCATGATGCAATAATAAGGTGATGTATCACAACAAAAACCTTTGTTTTTGTCTCGACCTTCTGTCAAATTTCGATTTCAAGTAGAAATTACGCACTTTGACAGTCAATCGAGACATCAGCTGAGCTAAATGGACTTCCTATTCATTGTGCCATGTTATAATATTTAATTAACATGGTTGGCAACATTGCACATCGAACTCAAATTGCGCACTTTGGCAGTTAATCGAGACAGCTGCACTAAATGGACAACATATTTATTGTGCCATGCTTGGAGCGAACAAATTCATTGAAGTAAACCAATTTCGATTGGATTGGAACTACTCATCAATTTACAAATCATCGTTTTTAATGTGTTCAAAGCCACAGCTGTTTGGTAACAACGGCGTTGCCACATGTGTGGCGCATGCCAAAGGTAATGCAACGATTGAAAACAATAACTACACAGTAAACAGATTAGATTGGATTAATTTTTTATTAAAACAAATTAAACATGGAATATCAATTGATAGAATTAGTAAAAGCCAATCCAATTCTTTACGATAGGAAATATCGAAATCCTCGTTATAGGGAAGAGAAGATGGAAAAATGGGCAGAGGTGGCTCTGCAATTGAGAAGAGACCGTAAGTAAAAAAAATGGCTTGCACATGATCATTTTACAACCTTATTAAGGATGAAGGAAATAGTTTTAGATTAAATTGTGTTTTCTATGATCTTGGTTTTAGCCAGCACAATTCGCATACGATGGAAAACCTTAAGGGACACGTACATCAGAGAACGGCAGCGAAAACAAAGGGAAGCCGAAAAGGATGAATCGGAACGTTCACACTACACCTGGAAGTATTATCATCATTTGGAATTTTTGAATAGTCAACTCCGAGAGTAAGTAGCATCTTGCACCTTAGCTCCGTATTTGTAACTATTTAAATTATCTGACTTATTTTGACAGGTCATCAAATTCCAATAAAATAGAGCAAGGAGAACCAGAATTTGCTCAATATATTCAGGAGACCACTACCTACAACGATGAAGAGGAAGAACACGATATCGAATATGAAGCTGAGAATTTCGATTTAAACGAGTACATAAAAAAAATTGACAATTCTACAGCGACGGTAACAAATCTGAGTAAAATTGGTACATCGGAAGAAATGAACAAAAAGCGAAAAATTGACAAGGATGCCATTATAAATGAAGCATGTCAAGAGATTTCGTCATTGCTGAAAAATGCCAAACAACGATTTACACCACCATCTCCCAATCAAGTTTTCTTCAATGCCATGGCGTTGCAAGTGGAAGAGGCCAAATTATCGCCCATCGATTTAATGCGCCTGCAACAACGACTTCTTGAAGTCGTTACCCAAGAGCTGGTTATGTATCAAGATAAGACATATACTTCTTAAATATAAACATTTATTATTATATACTTTCTCTAAATAAGTAATCCTTTAATAAATCTCTACTTGCGAAAGCTTCACTGTCCGCTGAATTTTCATAGTTATTGAATAGTTTAGTCTTTGGCAGCTTCACCGTTTCTCGCCAAACACCTTGTTTGAATTCTTGGGTTTCTTCGTCTATGTGATCCATTAGTTGGTTGTGCAGATATGAGGAATCGTGCTCTATTGCAAAATTGTGTAAAATGACACATGATCTAATGATGTTACAGGAAATTTCCGGTAATCCCGAAAACCGATTTTGTAAAACTTTCCATCTGTATAGTAGTATTCCAAAAGCATTGTCCAGGAAGTCACTGCAACATTTCAGCCGAGCATTAAATGCTTCCTTTTGAGCATTTAACACTTTTCCAGGATATGGTCTCATTGTGTGTTTGACAAATGGAAAACGGGAGGGTGTTACAAAGTAGGACGGTACCATAACCCCAGTTTCTGGCATTTGCATGTCGGCTGGTAAAGGCAAACGATCCAAATTACTTTGTAGCAAACTATTTACAATATTCTCTCTTTCCACTAGGTCTTGCATCAGATCCAAGTCGACATTAATCAGTTGATATTTACTATTACAAGAAGCTACTAAAACAATTGGTTCACGAGTTTTGCGTTCAGTTAAAAATTGTATAGCATCCAAACCACCAACACAATTCGGTAAACCAGTTGTTTCCAATTGTTCTTCGCTTAGCTCATAGTAATCGTCGGCGTTTAATGTGTTCAAGAAATAGCCTGAGGACAGTTCATTGGATATACATTCACATGTTTCGGTAATAATGGAACGCAATGTTGTTGAACCCAAACGAAATGCCATTTGCAACAATGGTCGGGGAGAGTCATAGGCTAAGTACCTGGAAATTAATGTATTGGCTTTAAAATATATTTCAGAATAATACCTTAATCTCAATACTCACATCAATGTAACCAATAAGCGACATTCTGGCGGTATAGGCTTCCTGGCCGAATACTTTTGCAATTTCTTTTTCAGCAACTGGACCAAATGTTCATATGTTGAAATATTTATACGGGTAAATTTGCGAAATTCTCTATTATTTCGCTGCTTAACTAGATCCATTAACTGCAGGTACAGCGAATGCATTTCACGTTCCCGCTGGGAGAACTCTTCTCTGGCCCATCTTAGACGGGTTGGACATGCCAATTCGATAAAGTGTATAAAAGCAATATAGATTTTCAGAATTTGTAAAAATTCTTCCATATAATCGTATGTCACAAGCCACATTTTGTTTAAACGGTTTGTTTACGATATTGTTTATTTACAGTTTTTTTGTTATTATAGAGTGACTGATGCTTGTTCTTCTTAATAACGCGTAACCCGGCCATCGGTAGACAGTGTTATGCAGTTCGATTTTTAGTAGCTAGAACAATAACCATATGCACACAGCACTTAATGTTGTTGAAGTTTTTTGGTGCTGCCACTCAATGCCCCCATGCGCAATAGGGCTGCTACAACAACAACAATGCACCCACCCCCAAAACTAGAGAAGAAGTCGATCTTCTTGGGTCGATACATCCCCTATTAATAAGTTCATCCAGGGAGATCACCGGGATGTCAGCTGCCTCTTAAATTTACTGTCAAAATCCATTATTGTGAACTGACTTCTATTATGAAAGCGTAAACACAGACAAATTTGTGGCATTAGTCTTGAGAAGAAAACCGCTGATTTTCGCTAGCTGGGTGAATTTTTTGAAGAAAGACCTAAAAGAAATATTTTTCTTCAGTACTCAAATAGTGGTAAAACTTTTCTAATTTATAACATGAACATCAGAAACAATTCGATTAGAACAAGATATTTGCATTTTCGCAAGGTGGCTTGTTCCATAAAATCAAAATCCTCGTGTGTCCCCCTTTAATAACGCGTCCGTCTGGAACTAATTACTTTGTTATAGATGAAACAATTTTTCATGATATTTCCTACTGTATTTTGAAAAGAAATCATAACCTTTCATTCATTTTTATGGTATGGTACCACATTTTTTGTTGTATTAGATATTGGTCCGCCTTCCGACTAGCGAACTATATACTAAACGACTAAAACGACCACGGGGAAAACATCGCAAACTGACATTATAGTAAATGAAACACCAACGATGTGGCAACATTGATATTATACAGCCACAGTAGAATAAGAAGAAGACAACTTGACAGTTTATCAATAACAATTAGGATATATTGGGATTGAAATATTAGCTTCATAGTTGCTTGAAGAGACACAAATTATATTGAAATAGTTAAAGTCTATCAAAAAATCCTATTTCAGAAAGGAAAATGTCAAATTCAGCAGCAGGTAAAGTATTCATCCCATTAGTGATGTAAAATACATTTTAGTTCTCATTGAAACGATGTAGAATCCTGTCGGTACACCAGTGGACATCTGTCCCCTCGAAGAACAACATACTTCCTGATAATAGTTTTGTACAAATTGAATTTTAATTTAATATTTCCATTTGTCAGGGCAATGGGTGAAATTTTTCAATGCGTCCGGCATACCCTCTCCTGCAGCGGCAACATATGCCCACATTTTTGTGGAGAATAGAATTCAAAGTGATATGTTAATGGATCTGAATAAGGAATATTTACGAGAAATGGGAATAACGCCGATGGGTGATATAATTGCAATATTGAGGTATGCCTAAATAAATTTATTCAAATAACTCTTGTCACTATGCTAAGATTCTTTCAAAATAGACATGCCAAGAATGTCAGTGATCAGACAGCCCGTGAGAAAGTACTGAGCACAGAGGTGCCTGTGGCAGCCGTGGCCGCTAATCCAGCCCTGCCTTTGGAAAAGAACAAAATCAGACTCAGGCGTAAGAAATGAGAAAAATTGTTTTAAAGTAAATACTCAATTTAATAAACATCTCTTTATTTAGCCTCATCAACGGTATCTACCACCACGACATCGTCAGCTGTCGTGGCCCCTCTTCCACCCGTCAAGCCCAGAAGAGTATTACCAGAACATGAAGGAAAATACAAAATCAAATTACCTTCAGGTACCACAGAACGAAGCAAACAAATATTGGCCAAACAAGCCAAATGTAAGAAGACCATTTGTATGGAAAACGGAATGCACCACTAACTCCTGTATATATTTTAGTATATTCTGACAGAGAAGCTGCCAAAGATAAATCCACAATATTCAAAAGACTTGCCATTAATTCTAAGGATACCATAGAGATTGACGAAGAGACATCGACTACATCATCATCCACAAGCTCAGATAATGTTAAAGTAAGAATCACTGGCCTGGGAAGTAAATCACAAACATCATCATCAATATTTTCGCGTTTGGGTGGTAAAGAGGAAGATGTTGCAGCTGTAACGAAGCAAATTAAGCCCATATTAAAGAATACAGCTAAGAATGTAAGTGTTAGCTATATACGAGTTTTGTAATGCCATTAATATCACAATTCATATTTCAGAGATTATCAACAATTGTCAAGGCAAAAACTGTTGCCACCGCGCCAACTGTTGTGAAACCGATTAAACAGAAAGTATTCTTAGTCAAAAAGGTTCCACTTAAAGATGATACAGATAATGACAACAATGACGGCGCAGATATATCCGACGAGGATATGTGGGATAATGATATGGACACTTCAGGGGGAAGTGAGAAGTTTGTAAAATTTGCATCTACTGCTGAGGTGAGAGAATTTGCCTCGCGAAGATATAGTTCACCAACAAAGAAAACATTTAATGCACGCCAAGACATGATGAAGGAGAAACCAGTTAAAGCAAGGCTGGGTTTGAGTATGAAATTTAAAATGTCGTTTTTTGTTTATATTTAACAAGAAACCTTATTTACAGATTCTAAACTGCATACGGTAAAGAAACCTGTGTCATTCAAGGCCTCACCACCCTCCAAAGCAAAGGCTTTGCCAAAAATGAAGGCGGATTTAAGTCGCCGAGATATACCTGTCCATAAACGTTTGGGTAATGCATCGAATGTCAAATCAAGTCCCACAGCTGGTGTATCATCAATCTCAAAACGTTTGGGAAAAGTTCATGTAGCAGGTTCAGCCGCCAACCAGACAAAGAACGCGAAAGCGTCTGTATTTGATCGTTTGGGATTTAATAGCTAAAAACAATTTCACAAAGGCTGCACTCACTTAAATACATACACAAACAAAAATCAGGAGTTTGTGTAGTTTTATAGTTTATAATTTTTATAAAATTTTTGGTTTAACACATTGTAACTTTTGTGTTTACAAAGTATGCTTAATTACTAATTTATATTTAATAAATTGCATATTCAAATCTCAATTCATTTCGGTTCTTAACAACAATTTGGTTTGTTTGTGAAAACATAAAAAGATAGGTGAATACATAAAATGACTCCTTCCCTTGATATATTTTATGTAAAATAAATAATTTGAATGTTTAAAATAAATAGATTATGTATTTTATTGCATATCACTCATTACAAATTGCACTCTATAATAATTATCACTACATTTTTTGGTTTCAACTAATTATTGAAATTGTTTCACTTTTTAAGCATTTCAATTATTTATGTAAATAAAATATAATCTTTGCCTTCTTTGAGTTGAAGGCTTTGTAAATTTGCCTCAAAATCACCATTTGTTAAATCCAGTTTCATACAAATTATAATGGGAGGTTGAACTTGACTAAAATGTACAATGGGAATGCTAAAGGTTTGCTGGCGGCATAGACGATCATAGTATTTGTAAAATTTATTTATTTTGTCTATAAGAAAGGAAATGTGGGTCATTATTGCTATGGACAACTCAAAATTACTTACTTTTATCAACATCACAAAATGCCGAAACTTTTCTTTTTTGCTCCATTGGCAATTCACGAAAAAGTCTTCTACCTTGTTTACCAGCATTCCAAATTGAAAACCCCTCAGACCATGGCTTTCTTTGCATTACATTCTGTAATAAATGTTTTAATCTAATGTGTCGTATGGTTTTTTCTTGGACACTAAATGTTGTGGCTTCATTGTGGTATCGGTATTTTACTAAATATTCATCTACTCTCTTAATATGGCCATTATTATCTAAATGTTTGTAGAAGAATATCAAATCCTCAGGACATCCTTTACCTTCTTCCGAAAATCCACCTTCGATTTGATTATAAACCATACGATGACACATCCATGTTGGCATAATTATTGTGGGTCCATTGGATGTGTAGATTTGTATCATTAATTTTTCCGCGCTAAGATCATTGGCCCATTTTGTAAAGCGACAGGTTGCATTATTCGGTATGCGGGTAAATTTCGAACCAATTATCTGTTAAAGGAAATTTGATTATAAATTACTTATTACTATTATTTAAACAAAAATATTTCACACAATTACCGCATTAGTATGGAGTTTTGCCAATGTATATTGCTTTGAAATGCGTTCTGGCATCATTTCATCATCAATATCCTGGAAGCATAAATAATTCCCTGTGGAAGCTTCAATGGCCCTATTGCGCCCATAACCAACTGAAAATTTAAAATCATTTAATGTTCAAAAATACATCTTTAAATGATATATGATCTTATTATAGTGGGATAAATTAAAACACGATTTTTTGGTTAAAAAGTGTTGTTTGTACTCTATGAATACAAAAATTTCCATCAAAAGTTTGTTTTGATAACTACAAATTTATTTATTTATTTCAATCTTAACATGTATAACAAAGGCTTTAGGCCAATAACGAAATAATCTGTGTAATCAATGATATAAGATCAATATCACTTGGGGTAATATATAACACACTTCTTAAGATCAAAGTGGCAAAGAGACGCTGAGTACGGTCTGAACGGACAGTTGATATATAAGAAAACTGACGCTATCACAGAAAATATGAAAAAAATCAAAACACTCTGATGCAATATCAGAACTTTTTCGATAAAGAATAATTTTGCCGTAGTCAGGAATAAAAACTAACCAATAAATTGTAATAGTCACGGTGCTTGTTCTGTCCCTTCATACCGATAGGTTTTTAAAATAACTTACCGCACTTTTCAGAAATTACTTAGAAGTGGCAGTGTGTACGAACATTGTAATGCAAAAATGAAGGCATCCGACAAACCAAAACGGATAGTTTAAATTCGCCATAGGTTTGAATATGGCCTGCGTCCACGTTTATGTAAAGAGTATTCTTAGAATCTTGTTATACGTTTTCCAACAAAATCTATATATATATATATATACATACATATATACATATGTATATATATAAATGAATTGTTGTTCGTTAGACTCGCTAAAACTCGAGAACGGCTGAACGGATTTTTCTTATTTTAGTCTTGAAATGTTCGTGGAGCTCCAGGGAAGGTTTAAAAGTTGAGAAAAAATCGAAAACCGCGAAAATTTTGCAAAAAATTATTATGACGCATATTTGCATTTCCACGAATTTTGATTAGAGCTATTTTGATTGCACCACGTCGTAGTTGCTATTTTGAGATATTTTGGGGTAAAATTGTTGGTGGATCTTTCCTCAAGGCTTTCATTTGACAATTATTGAAAATTTTCAAAATATTTTTTTTTTATTTTTTCAATTGTATTAACATTGTATTAAAACATTTTTTGGGAGAATACAAAAAAATAATTGAGAAGTATATCATTGAATGTACACGCGATCATGTACACGTTTTCCATTAAATTCACGTACACAGAACACCTCGCATATATCCGATACCAAAAATGTGTATCACAGGGAATGCTAATATACGAGATATTTTTCAAAAATCTGTCATTAAGCTCAGATGTAAAGAGAACAACTAAAAAAACAGCAATATTAGAAAAACAGCATGATATCTAATTTGAAGGTTATAACAAAACTTCCGTCCGATGTTACCTATTCGTATTGAACATGCCAACTACCGATAACACTCAGGTTGTAAAAGGGGGTAAGAATTTCAACATACCGAAAATTGAACGCGAAATAATTGTGGGTCTTTTTAAAACTTTAAGCTATAGTGCATCATTTCTGGGATGATGCTTATTCACACCCAATACCCCGGAATGACATATTTTAGCTACGACAATCGGAATGGAGATATATTATCCGGAAAGTTGGACCAATATTGGTAATTCTTTGTAAAGAAATGTTGTACTCACTGATCATCGAAAATACAAAATTACAGCCAATTTGGATGAAACATGTGACCAAACCTCTCAAAATACAGAAGAGTTAACCAATATTGACAATTTTAAGTAGGATTCATGCTACCAAATAAGACAATTAATTACAACTGATTATGTTGAAAAACGTGCCCCAAAAATGTGGAGTGCGCTTATATGGAGGCTTATTGGAAGCTTGCACAAATTTTTTAGGAACATTTTGTACTCAATGATCATCCAAAATATAAAATTACAGCCAAAAACGGAATATTAGGGGTTACCCGGATACTTAGGCCAATATTGATAATTTTAAGTAGAGAGATTTTCTGCTCAATACGTATCCCCTATATTATATTAAAACCAATTCTGTTGGAAACCGTGGCCAATATCTTCAAAATACGGAATGTTTATTGCTACCGTTACATGGGCAGTACCCCGAAACATGTGCCAATGTTATTAATATTTGGTACGGACACTTTCTGCTCAATTACAACCAATTCTGTTGATAGCATCGTCCAAATTTCTCATATTTCGAGGTACCGTTATATGGGTGCTACCCTAAACAGTGAACTAATATTGAACATTTTCATTCCCAAATATGCTAGGAGAAGTAGCAATGTACGTGGAAATATCAGAGCACTATCTCAAATCCTGGAGGGTAGAAAAGCAAACATATTGGGCTATCGTAATATTGGGATATGTGAATTATACATCAGCAATATTGCTATGCAAGGCAACGTTTGCCGGGCCCGCTAGTTTACTATAATTAAATATTTTCATTGGGTAAAAAAAAAAATTACCAAGAACTATACATGTTGGGTCAATGAATATTACTCATATGATCGTCCCCTCTGATATGCGGTATTTTGGTTTGAACACGTTTTCCTGCCGAATTGATTGTAATTTGATATGTGGGGTTCACATTGGGAAGTATTTTTCCAAAAGTTATGATTTTTGGTATTTTAAGATTTTAGGAAAATGCTAAAAGATAATTAAGTTATTTTAGTATATCCCATATATAGATTTCTTCGTTTTTCATTACATATGAAGTATCCCTTTATTTTCAGTATCCATAGAAAAATTGTTGACCGGCCGAATTGACCTTTGTTTTGTATTTTGGTATATACAAGGCGTCTTCAATCTTTATATTCAATTTTCAGATTTATTATTTGCTCAAAATTCCACAGAAAGGGCGAATTATGGAATTGACTATGTGAATAATGAACTATATTTCTGCAGATTTTAGAATATCTAATTAGTAATTTTGCAATTTAACTGAAATACGGCCGTTCCACTATGGGTTTTTGCGTTAATTAAAGCAGAGGGTTTATGAAATAAATACCACATAAGAGGATTTCGGGGACGCTGAAAGTAAACATTTAATAACAAGGGTTAAAAATGGCAGTACATTTTACATTTAAAATTGTATGAATGAAATTACAAAAATCCTGAAAATGAAATAAAATAAATCCAAACTGGCGGATCAAACATAAGGAAAAAATATTTCATTTAATATCAAAATAGCGTCGTTTTTGTATTACGGGTGTAACATTATGTGACTTTATACCATAACGAAATAGGAAATATAGTCGATTTGGTTTAAAAACGTGCTCAAAATCCCCAAAGAACCAAAGAAAGAGGGCTCCGTTTATATGGGGCTTGCCACGAAACATAAGTCAATATTTATAGGTTTTGGTACGAATGCGTTTATCTCAGTTTATTCTGTTGTGACTGATATATTTTTGGATCAAATATCATTTATACTCTCGAACAATGGATTTGATATAATAAATTCCCATATTAACCGATATTTCCTCACATACTACAAATATATTCCGGCCTTCTTCAATAAAGCCTTTGGAAATCGAATAGGTTTTAAGGTTGACTCACATCTTTTGAGTTTTTGTTTCAAATAATTAATTTAAAAAAAATTATTAATTTTTTTATTTTTGTTATTTGAATTTTGCCTTGTAAGGGCTGTGATCATTTGAAAGTAATTTTAAGTGAGTTATTTATACTCTTTCGAGTCGAGCTTAATGATAGAAGTTTTGCCAGGAGAAGAACCTACGTACCCACCATTATGCGACGCGTTTCGCTGTTGGTTAAGCGGCTCATCAGGCATATTGGCTTTCCTTTTCATTGCAAAACTTCTATCATTAAGCTCGACTCGAAAGAGTATAAAAAACTAAATTATTTTTTTTAATTTATTATCAAATTTAATTGGACTTTATAATTAGTCAGTATAATATGTTAAAGCTTAGGGGGGTACATTAACCCATTTCGCTCCAAAATTTAATGTTAATTATTATTAAAAAAATACTTTTTTTTATGGGTATAAGGTCCCAATGATATCACAAATATACTCAAAAAATTTTACGATTTTTGTTTTTTTCAGAAAATTGTTTTAAAAATTTCGTGGGGGTTTGGGGGTAGTAGTTAAGGTACATTTTTCTTTTATCTGGGGGATAAGACTTAATATCTAAAATTTTACCATTATCATTCTTAAAACACTCTTCGATTCGAACAGAGGAGCGAAATAGATCTAGTTGAAAATAAGATTAAATTTTTAATTTTGTCTATTTAAATCGTGTAGTTACCTATAAATATGTTATTAAATTTGTGTTATTTGAAATATGTAATAATTTGTCATTTGTTTTACAAACCTCCTTTGGTTAGTCCTGTACTATTCTTCAAGATAATCATTGGTATATTATAAATTTCTCTCAGTGTTTTTTGCCACGAACAAAGTAAATCGTAGGTATTATCACAGCTGCAATCATCAAATACACAAATTTCAATTTGTAGTAGTGATTCGGATGATTGTCTTTGATGTTCTTGTCGAGATTCATTTGTTGTTATACTTGTTGCCTGTTGTTTTGTTAATTGAGCAAATGTACTATCACTGTTACTGTTATTTTTGGCGGTAACTACAAATGTTGTTGGTGAGGTCATGGTTTTTGACACATCAGGAGTCTGCGCTTCGCCTAACGTATTTGTTTTGCATTTTCTCACAGCTGTCTGATTAATAATCGATTCCATGCAACCATCAACCCATTTTGCACCATTTAAGACCGTAATAATTATTGACTTGTAGAGAATATAAAGGAAAATAAGAAATTTCAATTAGAATTTATTGGAATTCTAGAGGTTATGCTACTTACAATTGTGTCTTTTGTTTCAGTTATGTGTGGCATTTTATGGGGTTTTTATTTGCTTTGCAGCAATTGATACCGGTAGCCGAATAAATGCTGTATAGATTTGTTGTCCGCTGAGCTATACATAGATACACGTCTGGCATTTACAATGTTTTACTCTCTTCTGACCAGGCTATAATGTCATGTTGTTTGTGTGATTGTTCATTCGTTCGTAAAGGTAAATAGCATCATACTCAATTCTTCTTCTTGGCACAATATCATTGAAGGAGTTTTGTTTTTTTAGTATTTTCAAATGCTCAAGTATAAAAAATCAGTTTTGTTTTTGGTTTGTTTCGATATTTTATCTGAATGTTAAATTGCAAATAATTGTTCATATATACAAACATATGCACATTGTTCAAAATGTATCATATTTGCAACTGCCTTCAATTCAAATAGAATTTGTGTAATTTTGCAACATTATGAGATAAGAGATTTTTTTTATAATTGGAAAATAGAATTTAACATTATTATTGGTCTAATACTATATACCCTTTTCGGCATATTTTTATTCTAAAAAAATCTAAAATCATTTTGTATAATAAATAATAAATAGTAACTCGTCTTTGGTGCACAATTTACATTAAATCGTAGGGACTCAATCCACGAGCTCAAATTTTTGTTGATCTCCCGTGAACTTAATTACTCTAAATATACGATGTATTTTCTTGGGCCACAGCTAAAAACTTGCTGGTAAGCCTACGCTATTTAGAACTTACAGATAACTTAAATTCCACTCTGCTCAAATCCGCCCTATTAACAGTTGGTACTAGGACAACTATCATTATGTTGTCCTTAACCACCTAATTAATTAAAGGACATTTGATATTGAACTGGGCTGTTTTATTTCATTTTTTCACGTTCCCCTTTGCGACCTCTGTATTAAAACTTTCCCTTTTAGAAGTGGAAGTTGGTTTTTAAACATCGAATGCATTTTTATTTGTTGTTAATAGTCTTTGGAAGTTTAACAGCGCCGTTGTCAGTATCTGCTATTATTGGTTCCAGATACTGGTAGATTACATCTAAAATTTCGTCCTCGAACTATCTCAATATTGAATGTATCGTTCGTAATACTTTTTATGTCCAAGAACAATAATCTTAAGTCGTTCAGTATCCGTTGAGTGTTGATAAAAAGAATCTATGATTTTGGAATTTGCTATTGCTATATATATATATATATGCGAGAAAGGAAAGGCTATAGAACCTTCTCGTATCTCAGCTGGTTATATTTAATGTAGTCTATATTTGTTCACCTTTTGTTATCTTCCCATTGAATGGGCCCTGTTCTCGACCCAAGCGTATGTTTTTATTAATTTCCGATATAAAAATAAACTAACAATCTATTTCGGTTCTTTGCGCTTATGTTAAAATAATGAAAGACATGTTCATTTAATATGTTTAATAAATACATTTATATATATTTTCATTTAGTTTCTCTTTTCTTCTTATAAAATATAAAATTCTTAAATATAAATTCATTGAACATAACAATTGTTTTCAAAACTTAAAACTAATTAAGTAAATCGATAAAGATTTTTAGTAATTAAGTTTTTGTTTCTCTTCGAATTATTGTGCCAAAAAGGCTATACACAAAACTAGACAATTAACAAACAGTTTTTTTTTCGTTATCATATAAAAATACTACATTTTGCCGTATAAACAAATTCTGCACAAATTCATTTTAATTCAAATAAAATAAAGTCTTTTCTCATTAACTATACAAATTCATAGGCAAAATAACACATTTGTTTCCAATATGGAAAAATAAATTTCTAATAACAATAAAATGTATACAGCAAATTGATGGGTTCATATTTACATCTACAATGAATGGGTTTAATAAAAAAACAAATGATCAGTCTTGATTGTGGTTTGATTTCTCCAATGAAAAGCAAATCAAATTTAAATTTGTAAAAACTTTCTGCTTGTGGTCTGTTTTTGATTGGCACTCTCGAATGCATGAATAAGTTCATCCATACCCTTGAGTAGACCCTCTTCACGATTGCCAGGAATCCATTCGTCGCGATGGTTAACCTTTACGTTATCGGGTAAAGGCCGCGACTTGGCAAAATCAATTAGCCAGCAACCGACTTTGACGTCATCGTAGACAATGAAAATACTGGAACCCACAATTTCGTGTGTCTGGAAGAATTTTGATTTTTCCATAACTGTACGCATATGTTTTAGCCGGCAGATTAGATCCTTTTGAACGGATTTTTTGCTATTCAGAAATTGATCAATTGTTTGGGATATTTGTTCGGAGGTGCGTACGGTTTTTAAATCTTTCATGGGTGGTTTACCCTTTAGACGTATGGCTTCAATGCGGAAACCTTTGTTTTGCGATGATGACATGGCTTCACGGAACAGCATATAACGAAGTTTTGTGATGGCCTGTTGTTCATGTTCTTCGGTGGTGGGGGCGTTAACATCGACTTTGATCATTTTTTGATAAAGATCAGGTCGTAGGGTTTTATTGCTAACTTCTGATTCCAAAAAGGTGCGACAACCCATTTTAATATCCATGACACAGGGATCTTTGAAACCTTTGAGCAAATCCTGCAGTTCAATGAACATTTCACCAGATTCCAATTGTATATTACCATAGAATTCGGGTACAATTTTTGAGGTTAGCGATTCTTGGGATAATTGTTGATAAGCCAGAACTTCATAGTCACTGAAGCTGGCAACACGTTTACGGACAACACCACTGGCACAGGGAACAATACTAAAATAAAAGAGAAAATGTTAGATTTTGTTTTAGATTTAAAAGGAGGTTTTAATTAAATTACCTTTCAGGATGTCCAGACAGCTGTAGCCAGCCTGTGGGTTTTTGATTATTATTCTGTTGCTGTTGTTGTTGTAGTAGAACTGGTGTTGCTGGGGCACTTAATTCCAAAGCATTCTGTAATTAGAAAAAATGAAATATTTAATTAGTGATAAGTTAACCAAAAAAGTGGGGTGAGCTTTGTTTTGTTTAAAAGTTTGTGGTAGCTATATAGACAGAAGTATAGGCAGACAGACGAAGGTTTATTGTTTGTTTTGGGTTAAATACATATTTAGTTTTGTTTTGTCGTTCGCTATTGAAAGGTTATCAAGATTTTTTTTTTAATAAATTTGTAAACATATTTCTAATTTGCCAAATATATGTTAAGTCTTAATACAATGGAAATTCCCTTTGGCCATAAAGTATGTCTGTGAGAAAATGTTACCTTATTTGTATGCAAATAAAATTAAAAGGCCTCCATTGCAATTGTTGCCAGGGGAAAAATAATAAAGAGTTGGTTTCTTCTAACGTTTGTTTAATATTTAAACAAAGTAAACAATATAATAAATACCTTATTTAGATAAATAAACGAAAAAACAACTGTTGGTTTATTGTGGCTACACGTGGAGTTAGCTTTGCAAATAAATACACGCCTCCAAAGCCCAAAAGTATGCTACTTTGTAAATATAAACAAATAAATCGAAGATGAATTGCTTTTCATTTGAGTTTAAAAATTTGGATACTTCTCAAATATATTTTTTTAAATCATTGCTTCTATATGTGTTTGGAAGACACACCCCAGCGAATCTAAGGCGTGTGCATGTATGCAATGCAAATTCTGTCTGTGCCTTGTCAGATTAAAAATATTTACATAGATTTGTAACGTCTTTATTAGATTATAAAACTGTTTATAGATTTTTTTGCTGTTATTCTAAAGAGAGTTAAAGGTGGGAAATTAATTGAATATTGACGTCATTGGGTGGACCTTGTGTAATTACACATTGCAACAAATTTTTATTAATTTATTACAATAAAATATTGGAATATTGTTTACACACCCACCAGAGGTGAGCAAATTTCCTATTTATTATTTACTTCTTTGCTATAAGAGATTAGAAAATAAAACTATGAACAACAATTGAAAATAAACAAAAATTGCATCATTTTGTCAGTTGGGAAAAAAAATACAAAAAACGAATAAAAAATATATGCATGTATATACAAAAAAAAATTATCAGCATGTTCTTTGGACCATAAAGAATATTCCAAACATTTTGAACTTTTTGTTGATATTTTATTATGGAAGGAAGCCATACGTCAAATGTGACCCCATAGTGTGTTTCATGAAAAAGAATCTAGTCACCTGATTTTGGTTAATGGTTAATCTGGTGTACACGAAAGTAATTTATTTCATTATAAAAAAAATAAGAGCCATGTGCTATAATTTACATAGCTTAATTATTTGTAGAGCAAATAAACAAACAGACATATTAAAGCTCCTTGTAATGGAATTATTTTTTTGGTAATCTTTGAAAAATTTTCCATTCATGGAATTTTTCATTTTATGGCTAGTGCAAAAAATATATATTTTATTTACTTGTTAATATAAAAACCTATTGATTAATTAACAAGCAGTTGTAAAAAACAAATAAGCTACAATGTGTTATTACAACAATCGTTTTGTCTAGCTCGGCTTGTCAGTGTAAAATGTAAATGCCAATAAAAAAATTAAACAAAAATTGTGGATACTTACAATGGCCAGAAATTTAAGCAAAGACATGCGGCTGGGAGCATCAAAGTCACGTTGACCCAAATAATCGGTGATATTTTCACAGTAGTCATAGGAAATGTTCTGGAAAAAAAGAAGAACGAACAAAACAATTAGTAACAATTTTTTTTATTAAAAAATAAAGAACTTATGATATAAACCTTTTGTTCCATAATACTATTATTTTTTGTGTACTTCTTCTTTAACAATGTTATACTTCTTGCTTGCTGAGAATTTCAACTTGAACTAAATTTACTTTTTACGGTTATAAAATGTTACCTTATTAAATTAAAAAATAAAAATATAAAAGGTGGAAAAAGATATTTTCTTGTCATGTCAATCTTCCACATTTATTTGATATTATGTTATCATACAAAAAACACATGTCAACGAATAAAAACCACGACTGGTTTCTGTGATAAGAATGCTGAGTTTCTCTATATTTATATGTAAAAATGTCGTTATAATATATAATACCCCCATAACAATAAAACAAAAATATGATGAAAGAAAATATTTCACAAAAAAAAAAAAAAAAAAAAAATGATAAAAATAAAAAGTCGTTGATAACATCTTATATATGACCTCGAAAATATACTATCAAGCGATATAATTTACAATATAATAAACTACGTGTTAAAAGTGTAAATATTTTCTTCTTTTTTAAAAATAATCATTTTTGGATTTGGGAAAAAGTCACGTTTGTATAAATTTTCCTTTTGGGTTTTTCCCATTTCTGGTGTTCTTTTCTATGAACACAAAATGAAATGTAAAAAAACCATGAGATTTGTTATTACGATTGCTGTGTACGTCGTCGTCTATTTAAATTTTTATCATGTGACAAATAAAGATCCGTCAGGGAATTTTTGTGTTATTGTTCGTATACGTAGTTTTTTTTGCGATTTACATACATTAAATATGCAGATTATAGAGTAGAATGCGAATTTACAGTATATTTTATTTCTATTTTTTTTTTATTTACATAAATGGAGTTATTTTAAACAATTGTTAATAGGATTTTCATTGAAAAACAGCTGAAATAAAATTTACGCCTAAAAATATGCCACATATTTTGAAAAGAGAGAATAAATATAATTTTTTAAATATTATCACACTTGCATTCATAGTTTATCTAATTATCAGTGGGAATAGTTTTAGATAAAATATTTTTTTAGAGTTTCCAACATTTTGATTTAGGAAAACTTATAATGATATGTTTTTTACGGAAATTACGTATATTTATATATAAATTATAAAATTTCTTAATATATTTTAATAGAAATTAACAATTTATTTATTTATCAAAATGCTGTTGTTGTTGTTGTAGTCATACTTTATTGACAGACTTTTGTTGAATAAATAATCAATCAATCAATTTCTAATGAAATTCAATTATTTGTGTGATTTTAATTTGACAATTGAAAAAAACGATAATAATAAAACCGGAAATAAACATTGTATTTATTTTTACGCACACACTTCGGTGCAAAATCATAAATATGATGGATATTTTGGAATATGTTCGGAAATTAAAATACAATAAATTACATACAAAAATACATTCGTTTGAACAATTAAATCTTGTAAATTAGTTTTCTAATAAAAAAATAATAATTATTTTATTCCGGTATAATTTAATAATAAATAGAGTAATTTATGTGTATCGATGTAATCAACACTGTCTTTGTGCGTATCCAAATAATCAACAGTGTTATTATGCGTCGCATATGAATAATTGTTTTAAATAATTATTATGATATGGTTATTGTTTATTTTGTTTTGTTGTGTTTCGGATTTTCAGCGCATGCCTTTGTTTTGATTTTTTTTTTTTGGAAAAAAAATTTAATTATGTAAAACACGTTCGCCAAGTTACTAACCTTCACAAGAGTAAAATAAAGAAAACCAAATAGTTGAATAAAAATTAAATAAAAAACAACAAGGAAAATAAAAGCCATTGAACGATGCTAGAATCGAAATACGTAATTTTGAACTAAGCCTATTGTTAGCAACATATGCATGTTTTGAACTAAATATTTCAAATAAATAGATCAAACAATTTACAAAAAAGTGCTTTAGATGTCTTTTACTGGATTAACATACTGATCTTTTAAATTATGGACCTAGTTAACGGCAATTAAAACAAATAACCGAAACAAATATTCACTGGGTTTAATAATAATATACTACATGCAATTTGATTTTCCTGGAATCAATATCAAATGTCCGCTTAAAATTTTGAAATGTTTTAAAATTTTTGTATTCGCAATTTTTATGCTATTCTTTTGTACGAATGAATGAATAACTAAAACAAACAAACTATAAATTTACATTTAAATATGTTTCTTCGTTTGTTTTTGCATACATTTATAAATTTGTCCGTTTTTCTTGTATGCTTAATATTGCTGACGATATTTAAGTGTATCTCTCTCTCTCTTGGCGAAAAAAATTAAATTTATTATGACGTCAATTGTGACCTTTTTTAAAAAAAAGGTGGACCTGACGTTTCATTTTACAATGTATTGACGTTTTATTTTTTTCTCATATTTTCTTCTTTTGAACAAAGGAAAAGGTTCGAATTCAAAGAAATTAACTGAAAGTTTTGAAAAATCAAATTCTTAAAATAACATTTGTTGACACGTGTGTACACGTACAATTACGATTTTGGGTTTGGGTAAAATTTTTATAAAAGAAGATGTCAGCAAATCATGTTGTAATAAAATGTCAAAATCAATAAAATTATTATAAAACATGCAAGCATTGCTGCACACATATTTTTGTTTATTTTAAGAGAGTTTTAAAAGTATAAATGACTATCAGCTGATGTTTGTTTACATACAAACTGACCATCTGATTACATTAATATTTTAAAGTTTTCTTTGTAATACCTCAAAAATTTCATTGTAATACGATTATATTGTATTAGGTCAGGGCTTAATTAAACGTAATGTACATTCGTTTGTATAGGAGACACAAAAAATGAAAATTAATTATTTTTTTTTTTTCAATTTACCAAACAAGTGTTTGAGTGTAGTCAATAAATATTTATTTGTGTCTGTGTTGTGCTACTTTGGATGTTATTGATGGTGATGATGATGATCAGCATCATTAGCATTGCACTGTCTGGTAGTAATTGTAGCCAAGTTTTTGTTATTGTAGCGTATTTTATTTTTTATTGTTTAAGCTGAGAAAAGGAACGGGGTCAGCAATAAAAAAATACAAACCACCTAAGCAGCTTAAAAGTGTTTTTTGTGGTTTGTTAATAGCAATTGTACGTATGTATGTATATAATATTATACGTAAATGTATAAAAAACTAAAATTATATATCTTTGGATAATTTTTCATATTTAGTTTCTGTCCTCTATAAATTTCGTCTTTGTAAACATAGTTATAGCTTTGTAAGATTATCTTTGTATTTTTCCTGTATAGATAAATGAGTGTTATTTCTTTCTGTAACATAAAGAGAGTGATACGAGAACTCTGTGGTCTAAATGAGAGCTAGATAAAAACATGCCACAATAAATAGGTAGTCCATTTAGCGCAGCTGACTATTCGATTAACTGTCAAAGTGTGTAGTTTCTACTTGAATTCAATGTGCAATGTTGCCAACCATGTGAAATATTACTAGATAAAATTTGACAGATGGTCGGGTAAGAAACAAATGTTTTTGTTTTGATACATCACCTAATTATTGCATCATGGAGAGATGGATAAACCCGAATACCAAACAAAGATGCCAATTTTATTGATTTCATTACAATTTAGGGATCTTTATTTAAGATGACCATACAAATATTTTTAATATTGCAAAATAACTTGAATGATCTTCTTTTATTTATTTTTTTCATTAAATAAAAAACAAAAAAACAAAATAATCCTAACAACTATTTTCTTTAGTTTTTTCTGTTCGTTTCCATAGTCAAGCTTTAGTTAGTTTTATTTTTTTAATGTATTTTTAGAACTTGTTCTAAGATTTATAGAATTTTTATGTAAATCCGACACGGCAAAACTACAAAAATTAAAATGCATTTCCACACGTTTGCTAAATGTTATGCATTCACATTTATACTAAAATTCTGGCGATACGACTACGTTTAGTGTAAGTAAAATAGCAAAAAAGCACATAAAAATAAACAACAATCGACATGTTTTGAATTTATAGTAGTTTGTTTTAAATAAATTAAAAAAATAAAACTAAACAAATAACCAGGCAGTCACAACAACAAACTTGTTCTCTACGTCGCCAAGTGACAATCTCAAGCTGAACGTATTGAATCGAATGAATAAATAAGTCCTAAATGTGTAGAGAAGTGACAGATAGACTGACAGTAGGCGAAAGAGATTTACTATAAGTAATATTGACACATTGAGATAGGTAGCTAATAGGATTAATTAACATAAAAATGTTAAATGACAATGTGAAGACTGTGCTGGATTTACGTAGTAGAATTAAGAGATATGAATTTTTATATACTAATTATTTTTTTTTCTACAGGTGTAGATATCTCTCTCTGCTAATTGAGAGGAAGAATGTGGTGTAGTGTAAATAGAATTGTTTACTTGTTGTAGGTCGATTTCCGGTATGCTGGCGTTTTAAGTCACCATTCCAAAGAAGGGTGTATCACCAGAGGAAGTTGTTATGTACCTATTTCAACGTGGTGAATTTTAGTATTTCCATGTAAGGAAAAACTAATTGGAACGTAATAGACAAACATGTTACAGAGAGATTTTTTTGGGTGAAATTTTTAATAATATTTACTCCAAAGATATTTTGAAAGTGTCATTTAAAGTTTCTCTTGATTTGAATGTATGCCAAATATATTGTTTACAATAAATAGGTGATCCATTTAGCACAGCTGACTATTCGATTAGCTGTCAAATTGCGTAGTTTCTACTTGAATTCGATGTTACAATGTTGCCAACCATGAGAAATATAGAAATGCATGATGGTTTACACCAACTTATAAACTTTTATACCAATTCATTATAGATTTATTTTGCGTGAGATTTTTTAATATGTTCACATCAAAGGTATTTTAATAGAGTCAATTCAACTGTCAAATATTATTGTTTACATCAACTTATACACTGTTTACAAAAAGTTCAACTTG